GCGATGTGTTAGCCGCAGAGTTAACCCCGGGGCTAGGAGATGGCCCCAAGCCGGAGCACACACGTCGGGAGGGACCCCTGAGCACTAGCTCTGCTCAGCTTAGACAGGAGACCGGAGAGTGAGCAAAATCCCAGGGGCAGAGCAACAGCACAGTGGGGAGGGTGCTCGCCTTGCAGGCCCAGGGCCAGGAGGAAACGGTGAGCACTGCCAAGTGCAGCCCCGTAACAAAACAAAGCCCCCGAATGTGAAAAGTACATTGAAAAAGTGTTTTGTTCCAGTGCCAGGAACTGAACTCGGGGCCCTGCACGTGCTGAGCACCTGTTCTTCCAGCTGTCTCTCCTCCCACCACCCCCAACCCCCAACTCTAAGTGTAGCTGTCAACGCATCAGCCAACTTCCTTGTTACGACGCTGGGCTGAGGAGCAAGTGTGTCCTTCGCGTCTCCTCCCAGTTCCAAATACTCACCAAGGCCCCCCACACACCTATGCTTTCCTGGTTCTTTGGGGTTATTTTTTTTTTAATTTTTATTAGTGAGACACCATGAGGTACAGTTGTAGACTTACAAATTTTTGTGCTTGGGTCTCAATTATACAATGATCAAATGCCCATCCCTCCACCAGTGCCCATTTCCCACCACCATGGATCCCAGTATCCCTCCCACCCCCCATCCCAGGGCATTCCCTTTTGTTCTCTCTCTCCTTTTGGGTGTTGTGGTTTGCAAGAGAGGCAATGGGTGGCAATCATGTTTGGTCTATAGTCTACTTTCAGCATGCTTCTCTCTTGGAGTTATTTTGAAGCATATTATTATTATTATTATTATTATTATTATTATTATTATTTCTCTTTGGGTCACACCCGGCGATGCTCAGGGCTGACTTCTGGATCTGCACTCAGGAATCACTCCTCACAGTGCTCAGGGGACCCTATGGGATGCTGGGGATGGAACCCAGGTAGGTCGCATCCAAGGCAAACGCCCTACCCACTGTGCTATCACCCCAGCCGCAAAGCACATGATTGTTATGCTTAATCCTATCATGTTTATTCAGCCCATTGGCCTGGGTAGAGATAGGGGTGCTAAGGAGCCCCTCGGCCCTCATGAACGTGGCCTTGAACCCCGACCCAGGCCCCAGTCCTAAGCCTCCCTCGGAGCTCAGAGCAACTACGTGATGGTTCTGTCAAAGCCGACATGAGCCAAGTCGCTGGGCTGTTCCCCAGGGAAGGTGCTTCATAGGACCAGGCGGGAGCTGTGCGGCACCCTGCCCTCAGTGTGGAGCTGGGGGCTGGGTGCCACAGGTGGACAGGACAGACAGAAAGCGCTGAGCAGGCTTGAAAGCGTCCGTCTTGCTTTCCAAAGAGGTTGGACGCCATCACTCACGCCAGCTGTGCACGGGACTTCCCTTCCCCACATCCAAACCAATATACCCGACACGGCCCAGCAATGCCACATCCAGTATCCAGCCTGAAGGTTCCAGAACACCTTCCAGAAGATATCTGTGCCCCTGTGTTCACTGAGCACTGGTCGCAACTGCCAAGATCTGGAAATCACCCGTGTCCAAGAGTCGATGAGGGACTGAAGGTGCTGTGGCGTGACACACACACACTCACACACAACGGGTCATGGGTGGGGTCCTCAGCTGGAGAAAGGGGGAACCCTGCAGTCTGCTGCTGCGTGAACGAAAGTGGGGGGTCTCAGAGTCAGCCGGGAGGGGGGGCAGATGAGTCTGATCTCTCTCGTGTGTGGTGTCTAAAAAAAACACAGCAGGGGAGTGACCAGTGTCCATATTGTTTTCCAGAAAGGCTGGACCAGTGGGCATTCCCACCAACAGTGAAAAAGCATCCCTTTCCCCCCACATCCACACCAGCACTGGTTGCTTTTGTTCTTCTGAATGTGTGCCTGTTTCTGTGGTGTGAAATGGTATTTCATTGTTGTTTTGATTTGCATCTCCCCGATGACTGCGATGGGCTGAAGCGATAGCACAGCGGTAGGGCGTTTGCCTTGCATGTAGCCAACATGGCCGACCCGAGTTTGATTCCTCCACCCCTCTCGGAGAGCCCGGCAAGCTACCGAGAGTATCTCACCCGCAGGGCAGAGCCTGGCAAGCTCCCCGTGACGTATTCGATATGCCAGACACAGTAACAACAAAGTCTCCAATGGAGATGTTACTGGGCCCGCTCGAGCAAATCGATGATCAACGGGAGGACAGCGACAATGACAGTGATGATTGCGATGTGGAGCATTTTTTCATGTGCATTTTGGCCATTTGTATTTTTTTGAGGAAACTTCTGTTTATTTCCTCTCCCCATTTTTTGATGGGGTTGGAGGGTTTTTCCTTATACAATTCCACTAGTGTCTTGTATATCCTGAATATCAATCCCTTGACTAAATTAAAAAAATTTTTTTTAAAAAGCCAAAGGCCTCTGTTTGGACTTTCTACTCTGTGCAATCATGTTATGAACGGTTCCATGACCCCAAATGAATTCTTTTCAGATCACTGGAAAAATGATTCAAAATCACAGTTTCCACTGTACGATCTGCCTCTTTCCCCGGAAGCCGAGGGAAGCCGGTTTTGGTTGGGTGTCTGTGGGACCCTGCTTGGAAGCTGAAGTATCTGCGACCAGGAAGCAGGACCCACAGCCCCAGGGAGCTGACGAGCTGACGAAGGGTGGGCGCAGCGGGTCACGGACAGGAGAGGCTCTTTGCGGCCTTTCCTGACTCAGGGAGAACTGAGAAACCTTGTGAAAGGTCACCGGGCGGACCTGTGACAAAACACAATTTTAGACGAGCATTTCGGGTGCTTCTCCCCACAGCCCGTGAGGATTCTCGAAACACAGAGAGCACCGGACAGGAGATGTTCCTGACTGCCAGGCCGGCTCCTCCCACAGCCACCTGGAGTCCGGCTGTTGGCCCAAGCCCGACTCAGCCCCCTGACGCTGCCTTGCGCTTTACAGGCAGGATAACTTAGAATTTCAGAGGACCCTATTCCAGTCATTGCCGCCCCCCACCCCAGATTCCCCGACTCCCAGCTCTCCTGCACTCCATCACCCTTCCCTTGGCAAGAGAACAGGCGGAAGGACGGCAGCCCTTTTCCCGAGGGTCACTGCAACACCCTGAGTCCACCCTGAGTCCAGCCCTGACTTCACCGGCCAGTCACTGCACACAGGAGGCACCTGGGGGTCCCGGCCTTTTCTGTGACGTTGCGGCACCCACGCGAGGCAGGTATCAGGGTCCTGCGGCACAGGCCTCGGGCCACTGAGCCTCCTCTATGTGGCTGGACGCATCCTGTAGCCACAGCAGGAAGGTCTGTGGGCACCTGGACACCGTCCCCTGAGATCTGTTGGTGCCTGGACACTGTCCCCGAGGCCTGTGCTCTTGGACACTGTCCCCAAGGTCTGTGCTCCTGGACACTGTCCCCGAGGTCTGTTGACGCCTGGACAGTGTCCCCGAGGTCTGTGCTCCTGGACATTCTCCCTGAGGTCTGTCGTTGCCTGGACACTCCCCGAGCTCTGTGCTGGTCCCAGCTGACTCGCTTCCCTGCAGCCTGGTGGCCTTTCCAGTGGCCACCTCCTGGGCCCCAGGGCCTGAGGTCCCCGAGCACTCCTGATTCGGGGTCCCAAAGGCCGGATCACCATGAGCATTGTGAGATGCCCTCCTGGCCTGGCGATGGGGGGTGGGGGGAGGAAGGGACTCTCTGACTGCTGACCAGTGACCCAAGGCTGGAATGCCAGGTGGGAACTGCCACGGAAGGGAGTAAGATCACGGCGCAGGAGAGGGTGGTTAGAACCTCGGGCTTGGTGGGGGTGCCCAGGGCCGCTATTCGCCGTGAGCGGCACTGCCAGGCTGACACACCAGACACACTGACGGGAGAGCAGTGCCAGGACACAGGGCCGCGGAAACAAAGCCGCCAGAGACGCCGGCAGCACCGAGCAGCCGGGCGCCGCCGACGGCACCCACCAGGTCCCAGGAAAGGCCGTGCCAAGCTGCCCGCTGGCAGCACACAAGACCGACTTGTTTCTTTCTCCAGAATCTTCGCGCCCACTGCTTGGGCTGCCCAGGTATTTCCGACCCACGTGTTTGTCTTTTCAGATCGGTGATCGTAACTTTCAGACACAAACTTACTTGCTACTCAGAATTCTACATGTATTTTGTCCTCATGGCTTACCTTATTGACGGTTCAATAACACTCTGATACTAGCACTTAGCACAAACTTCCGATTTTCTTGTTAACCATAGTTCAATTAGGTACCTTTCTCCTAGAATGTGTGTAAGTACACACACACACACACACCCCTCCCCCCAGGTCAGCCCGCAGGAACATTTCAGCTTTCAGTTTTCCTTTCAGTAATGCCGGGCTATAGGTGTGACCGCCCAAAGCCCAGAGCGTTTGCCCACGAGAGCCCCAGAGCCCGGCCCTCCCATATTTCTCAGTCTTGTTCTGCAGTCTGCAAGGGGCCGAGCGTTTGAACCCAGACCTTTGTGGCCGGGTTCTTCTTCCGTCTTTAACACAGAGCATCTCAGAAGCTGGCGGTGAAAGATGTGAACCGGCACAGACTGGGGCTCTGAGGGAGCCGTGGGGATCACTGAAAGTTACTCACGCCTTCGCAGAACCTGCCTTCACCAGGGCCATGTCCGAGATAATGCAAAGATTTGGAGTTGTATTCATTTTTCCCTTCAAATATTGTTTTTAAAGGCACTCAAAACAAAGGGTTTTTTTTTTTTGGCCCTAAAATGCATATTCACAGGACTGCAAACAGTAATTAGCCGTCAACTTCCAGATTTCAAAGATTTTTTTTTTTTAAATTAAATAACAGTTAAATAACATTTTTACAAAACAAGTTGCATAGAAAAAGTGTATGTCCCTGGGCCTCTGCGTGGGTCTCCCACGGGCGTCAGCAGCTCTTCCTGAGGAAGGGAGGGGCGCGGGGCCGGGCGGGGGGCGACCCCCTTGCTGGGGCAGGGGCCAGAGTCCGGGGCAGTCCTGCTCGGGCTGCCCATCCAGAGGGTCAGGACGAGTTCAGCAGCTGTGCCAGGTTGCCCAGACATTTCAAGTAGTAGGCGTTGAGAGGCGTTTCCTCCGCCTGGGAGAGAGCTGAGACAAGGATGGAGAGGTCGCTGGACGCCGTGAGGGCAGAGAAGGAGCGCACACACACACACACACACACACACACACGTGCACACACGCATGTGCCCTGCACATACAGATGCACATAGACACACTCACACGGGCACACGGGCACACACACACAGACACACACACGCGCACACACAGTGAACAGAGAATCAGAAATTCTACCTCTACTCACACACACACACACACACACACACACACACACACACACACGCACAGAGTAAAGAGAGATTCAGAAATCCTCCCTCCTCTCTTCCTGTTCTGGCCTCAGAATATCTCCCAGTGCTTGAAAAGTCAACAAACTCAAGGGTCCCCGTTTATTTTGGCCATGGCTTGGATGGTGCAGTCGGAGACCAGCCAGTGAAGCACACGCTCAGCCCGGGCAGTCTCGGCCTGACCCCACGGGTGCCCACCCTCCGCACGCTCCCAGTGGCTTGGTCACAGCCAGTACAAAGCAGGCGAGAGAGAAAAACACAAGCCAACTGCGTGTCAGACACTCAGGCTCGCGGGGCGGGCAGGGCCCCTGCATCTGCAGGAGGAGCTGTGACTGGCCGCGCAGAGAAAACCGCCCCCTCCCCCCCGCCCCCCACTCTCCCAGCCCTGGGGCCTATTCCAGGAGGAGCGTGTCAGCACCTCACCATCAGAGTTAAGGCTTCTGCTCAACTCCAGGGACCCTCCTACCCGCCCAGCACACAGGCAGCCTCTGGCCACGGAAGCTAGGGTGGGGGGGGGTGGGGGGGGTCCGACCTGGAGAAGCCACTGAGCTGAGCGCAGAATGGGCATTTGCCTTGCACGAAGCTCCCTGGGATCCCATAGGGTCCCCCCGAGCCCTGCCAGGTGAGCACAGAGCCAGGAGTAGGTCCTGAGCACAGCAGGTATGGCTCAAAAAGGGAAAAAACACAAAAACAAAAACAAAAAACACTGTTTGTCAAACCTTCCTCTCTCAGATCGGGAAAAGCCGTAACAAGAACCATCCACGGAGGCCGGGGACAGTTGTTAACCGGCAGCCCCGCGCGGTGGCTGGGCCACATCTCTGTACAGGGGAGACTTACTTTTCTTCGCTAAGGAGTACGCTTCGTCCACTCTTCGTTTTATCGACTGGTGTTTCAAAGCGGACTTGGCCTGGGGACGGACAACGCAGACGCACCCGTCACTCGCGGGCCCCCCCTTCCACAGTGCTGCCCTGCCCGCCCGGGCCCCTCTCCCCAAAGGCACAGCGTCATCCAACCCGTTCGGGCCTACTGTCGGGTTCCCGGCGCTCAGGCCCCGGCTCTCCGACGGGGAATCCAGCCTTACTGGCCTGTGCAACTCGGGCCAAGGGAGCACTTGACAAAGCCGTCTCTTGCGGACCCGGGCGGTCACTGGACACTCCGGGGCCTTCCTCGGGGCGAGAGGCCTGAGATGGCGGAAGGAGGCAGCGGGCCGGGGCCCTACGGGGCGCCCCCACGCCAAGCCAGAGTCAGGTGGACACGCTGCCCCAAACCCTCCTGCCCCTGGCTCCAATCTCCAGCACTGCACACGGTCCCGGGCCCAGCCAGGGTGGCCCAACATTAAAACATCCGAAAAAAATCTCCATCACCAATGCTTGATCACTGTATGATGGGAACTCGGACATGGAAGCTTCTAACTGTATCTCACGGGGGATTCAGTAAGAGAAAGTCTTTTTAAAAAAAAAAACACACATATAAGAAAAAAACCTATACTAGGGCCCCTGAATCTCTAGTAATGAAATAATGGGCATGGGCGGGGACCCCAGCGAGGCTCTCAGCAGCTCCGGGGGTCCACCAGAGGGCCGGTGACAGGGGCTGAGGCCGTAGTGCCACAGGGCACTGAGGGGCGCTTGGGGGTCTCCGGGGCCAGCGGCTGGGACGGAAACCGGGAGCCACAGGCCGGGCGGGCGTCGAAAGCGGGAGGCTGTGTCTCGGCCCCCCTCAACCAACGGACATGAGCAGGGAGAACACAAGCACCGGCGGGGGGGGGGGGGGGGGAAGGACTCACTGCGGCACTCCTCGGAGACGGAGTCTCCCCGCCTCCCTCCCCCCGGGGACCCCTCACCCTGCACGCAGGGCCCGACTTCGTCCCAGCAGGACCCGCCGGGGAGACGCACCTTCTGGTAGTTGTGGACCAGAGCCCAGAGGGCCGAGGCGCCGATGCGCTGTGCGTCCTGGTGCTCACTCTCCAGGCCGGCGGCCAGCGCGTGCAGGACCTTCTCTGGGGAGGGACCGAGGCAGCACGCTCACCCCCCGCCCGGGCGCAGGCCCACCCTCCCGCAGGCTCGTTCCCGGGGCGGGGTCCGAGTAGAGGGACCGACTTCCACGCAGGCACCAGTTGTCAGGGGAGCCTGCAGGCCCCTCACGCCGGGGCACTAAGGCACACGTTCACTGGGCGCTAACAACTGGGCAGCAAATGAACCGTCACATAAGCGAGGGATTCCATCTCAGCCCCCAGCTCTGCATGCAGGACACAGCCCTCCCCGTACAGTGAATCAGAGAGACTTTTGTCTTCATCAAACACACAAACTGTTGCATCCAAAACCAGCGCTCAGGCCGGGGGACAGCACAGCGGGGAGGGCCCCTGCCTTGCACGCAGATGGTCTGAGCTCGATCCCCGGCACCCCGCAGGCTCCCCTCCCTCCCTGAGTCTGCCAGGAGGAATCCCCGACTGCAGAGCCAGGACTAACAAGGCGGCCGGGGGAACGTCTCGGTGTCAGCGAAGCGGATGGGGGAAGAAGTGGCGCCGGGACCCCCACGCACGGCACGAAGCCCCGCGGCAGCCGGGGGCACAGAGCCATGGTGGAAGCCGCCTTCGGGGCTCGGGGCTGGAGGGCGTCGGTCAACCACCACCTGACGCTCCTCCCTCTGCCACGGGGAAGGGGGCCAGGGAACAGGCTGCATCCTTGGAGTGGGGCCGCGAACCCCCCCCATCAGAGGTCAGCAGGTGGGCAGCCGGCAGGCAGCTGCAGTCCTGGGGCCCGATACAGGCCAGCAGGAAGGCGGCGGCCACCGTCACTGCAGGCAGACGCACTGGCCATCTCCCTCCCCGCATGCAGAATCCCGGGTGCCCCCGGTCCAGGGGAGAAAGCCCCTGCCCGGTGGCAGTGCCGCTTCCAGGATCTGAATCAAGAGCCCCGGGCGGTCAGGGCGCACTGACCGTTGGCCAGGATCCGGGGCTTGTGGGCGGGGCTGAAGCAGAGGTTGTGGAAGATGAGCAGCGGGAGGTAGGGGGCGCCCTTGTGCTCGTAGCGGCTCATCTCCGAGAGCAGGTCCAGGCCGCCGTCCAGCCGCAGGATCATCTGCTGCCCGTCCTCCGCCAGCGAGATGTTGAGCAGCAGCTTCAGCCAGAGCACCGTCAGGTTGCTCAGGTGCCGGCTCCCGGCCCTCGGCAGCGCCAGGGACAAGAAGTTCTGCAGGAAGTTGCTCTGCGGGCCGACACGGGGAGGCGCTTCGCTTGCTCTGAGTCCTTCCTCGGGTCTGGTCCCTCCGAGACCAATTAGCCGGCAATCTGCTCAGCGTGTGTCGCCCTCCCCCGCCCCCACCCCTCCAACTTCCCCTCCCTCCCCAGACCAGCCCAGGCCCAGCTGTCTAGACGTTTCCAGGTACCCGTGAAGAAGCGGAGGAGGGCAGAACCCGGGCGCATTTTTTTACTCTTACTAATTCTTTCCTGGTGAGGGATAAGTAAACGAGAGTCAACTCAATTATTTAGGATTGATAATTCAGTTTGGGAACCGTTCCCTGCCCCCGACGTTTTCTCTTTCTGTCTGCCTTCTGGCAAATTCTGCTACTCATTAAAATCTCTCCTATGGGGAAGGAAGAGAGATGAAGCCAGAGATCGGTCTTGGGTATCGGACGGGAACTGCCGGCCGCACGACAGAGACCCGCACAGCCGGCCAGCGACAACACAGCTCCCTGCACAAACGCTCACCAACCCCTCAGCTCTGCGGAAGCCAGCAACCCCCCAGTCTCGCCTAGAGGGAAACAGACAGCACCGAGGACCCCGCCTCCTGCAGGAGCTCTGGACGGGGAGGGACGCGGCGGGCCAGGCAGGGCACAGAAACGGGACCCCCGAACCCTCAGAACGTGCAGAACTGAGTTGCCCCAGCGCGCCTGGAGCTCTCGGGGCCTGCCCGAGGCTGTCCGAGCAGCCTACGAGGAAGAGAAACGCTGCAGCCCACCGTGAGACCCCCGGGACCCTGTCCCTGCCGAGTCACTCGGGCTCTGGGGCGGACAAGGCAGCAGGACAGACAGCGGTGCCTTCTGAGCACCGGAGTGGGGACAGGGCTTCTTCCTGCAGGCCGAGGAGGCCTGGGGCAGGGAGGTTCTAGAACATGGGCAGCTCGGCAGTGCTCGCTGCTCTTTCGGCAGCGCATGGTCTGAGCGCGGGGCACAGGGTTGGTGCCATGGCCATCATGGCCTCTGTGAGGAAGGACGGGATGTGCCTGCATTGGACCAGCCTTGGAACGCGGCGCGTCACCCAGGCGTCAAAGCACGGCAACACTCGTGCCAGAACGACAGGTGGGAGCTGCTCGGGGCGAGATCTCCCTGCGGGCCCCGGCCGGCCCACACGCCAGCTCTCCCGCAGGGGACACGCCCTCCTGTCTGCGGGGCCCCTCGGCGCCCTGACGTGGGACTATTCCCCCCGACTGATCTCACGACCCCAATCGTGACGCCCAGGGGTGTCAAAGCTCCCAGCACTGACGGTGACACCCGCAAGCAGCACGCTTCTCTCCGACCCGCCACTGCAAGGAACCCTGCATTGATTCAGGGATGCAAGGGCCCTGTGGGGCAGGTGGGCTGGAGAGATGGCAGGAGACAAGGGGAGCACGGCACTTACAACGGCCGTCGGCCGTGACCGCTTGACTCCACCCCGAGAATCGGCAGCACTCAGACCCCTAAGCAGCGGGAAACGGCAGGAAACCTACTTCCGTCAATGTCTGGAGGGGCCTTCTACTGTTCCCTTAACTGACGCAATCTCTTTGAAGGTGCCCCGAGTAACAGCAGGGCCGAGAAGACCCGAGTCCCGAGGGCTGAGGCGTGACTCTTCCGTCCCAGGGAGTCAGGCCAACTTGGGGAAAGGGTCTGTGATTTCGTCAACTGCCTCGACAATTTAAACCGCAATGAAATTGTTATTGCGCAATTTGGTCTCTTCTAAAGACCAAATCCATTACGTTTACGATCGTGTAGAAACGCAAGACAGCTGTCTCTCTCAAACCCTCACTTCTGAGAGAGATGAACTATAATCCGAGAGGAAACTGCACAATCGTATTCCAATTCCTGTCGCTTTGCATGCATCCATCACCGGGCTTTCAACAAAGCGAGCCTCTGATCCTCTCACAGTCCCTTCAAGAGAAGGTCTTGGAGTCGTGACCCAGTGAATCCTGGAAAACGAGTTCTCCCTGCTTCCCAGGGGCCCGGGTCGGAAGGAAGAGTTCCCGAGCGTCCCCTGGTGTCTGAAGGGAGCGGGAAGTACTCACTTTCTGAATCACCCCCTTGCAGTCGTGGGACAAGGCCAGGTTGGACAGGAACATGAAGACCATCTGCTGCACCGTGCTGTTCTCCAGCGGCATCTGAGAAGCCAGCTTCAGGAGGCACTGCATCAGCGAGCTGCCAGCCGCCCCCCTGCAGGCCGCCGGCCCGGCCCCCGACCAGCAGAGGGAACTGCAACCTGAAGGGACAGCAGCCGTCACGACCCCGCCGTCTCACGCACACTCGATGCGGTTCGGCGCGAGCCCGGGCACGGGAGCGAGTCTGTCTCTCAAAAGACTCCGCCATCAACCTGCGAACCGCAGACGAACACCAAAGGCTAACGCTGGCGTCTACGTTCAAGCGAATGGATTTCCCGTCCTCATTAACAGCTTAATGACCTCAGGAGAGCACCCGAGAACGCGGAGCTTATTCTTTTAAGGCGTAAAAATAAGCATACGAGGGGGCTGGAGCGATAGCACAGCGGGTAGGGCGTTTGCCTTGCACGCGGCTGACCCGGGTTCGATTCCCAGCATCCAACATGGTCCCCTGAGCACTGCCAGGAGTGACTCCTGAGTGCAGAGCCAGGAGTAACCCCTAAGCATCACCAGGTGTGACTCAAAAAGAAAAAAAAAAGCATAAGAAGGTTTTCAAACAGTTGCTAAAGGCAGCATCTCAATAAAAGCCCAAGTGGAGAGCAAGACGTTGGGGTCGGGACACGGCTGGATCGAAAGGTCTCCCGGGAACAAAACGAAAAACGGGGCACCAAGAATGTGGAGGTGGACGGGGGTGCGGGCAGGACAAGGCCGAAGCTCCACGCTCCGGAGGACAATCCCGTCCCCTTGGGGGCACTTGGATTCCCAGAAGGGACGTTTCCAGAGGGGACTAGGGAGAGGGTCGTGGGGGCGAAGAGGCCTGGGGGGCCCCTGGGTTAGTTAGGCACCGGGACGGACGTCGGGGAAGGTCACGCAGGGTCCCCCCAGCTCAAGGCCAACTCGGACCAGGACCCTCCCCGCCACACGGAGCGCAATGACGGTTCCGTGAGACCGGATGGACGCGCGTCTGCCCAGACAACCCGGACAAGGAAACACAAGGTTTCCCTCAGCGCAACGGCTGGACCACAGTTCCGACCGTGCCAGCACCAGGTCTGGAGAGCCAGCGGCCGAGCTGCAGAATGCTCTGGAACAGGCGACCCAGTGAGGGGCCCAGAGTGCAGTGGCCTGAGGCTGGCTCCTCCCTCCCCGCGGGCATGTTGACCTCCACCCCCCTCGCCCTGGCTTGCTCCCAGGAGGCTCCCGATAAAGGGGCTGCCGTGTGCGTGAAAAACACACCCCAGGGAAGAAAAGCTCACCAGACCAGCACGCCTAGAGCTGATTGTTCACCGTCCCTGGCTGAGAAGCCCTGCACATCTCTGCGTCACGCGCTTCGACGGTCCTACATCCTGGTTCTCACTGTGTCTGTCCCGAGGTCACAGACCCAGGCCGGCTCCCGCCCTGTGCTGGGCTGTCTGCACACTCCCCCCACCCACACACACGCAGGACACACGGGAAGTGTCTGGCTGCTCTCCCAGAGCCCCCGGACTCGGAGCCAGTGGGAGAGGAAGAGACCGTCCACATCGTGCCTCTTCCCTTGCGGGTGAGAGGGCGCAGGTGCAGTTACCGCTGGGGAAGTTGGCGGTGTAGACACACAGGAGCTGCAGGGCGCTCTGCATCAGCGAGTCGTCCATCAGGAGCCACGGCCAGAGAGCGTGCAGGACCGGGACGAGCTGAGCCTGGAGAGCCGCCTCCTGCGGCCAGCAGAGAGCAGGACACTGAGAGCGCCGTGGAGACGGGGCGGGGCAGCCCGGCCCACACTGTCGCCTGCCGGGTCTCTCTAGGGCCCCAGCGGGCGTGCTGGCCAGGGACCCACCCGGCCCTCAGCCTGGGTGAGCGGGGCGGGTGACCGGGTCAGAAACCGGCACACGGAGGAGGGAACCGGGCCAAAGGGCAGAAGCTCCGGACGCCCACTCCCTCCTCCCAGGGTGGCTTCCTCGGGGGTCCTGGGTAAAAAACAGCCCCCTCGAGAGCAGGTCCCTGTGGCCCCCATCCTCTCCCGCCTTGGAACCAGGCTCCGCCCCCTGCGGCGTGGGTGTAGCAGGGAGACAGTTCAGGGGGGTGGGGTGGGGGGAGACACACGCGTGTGCAGAGAAGCAGCCCTCTGAGTACGTGCATGTGTGCGCACGCGTGTGTGTGTGTCCGCTCGGGTGTTTGTGTGCATGCGTGTGTGCGCATGTTTGTGTGTGCGATCCGCACTGAGGGGTAACAGTGAGCCCACCCAGCCGAGGGTTGCATGTGCCGATGGGCCGACCAGCCGGGCACCGATGCAAGAGACATCGCCCTGTCTGTCCCCCGGGAGGTCAGCCCGCACCCCCGTGTCCCCGTGTCCCCATGCTCCCGTGTCCCTGCAGGCGCCAGCCCCCGAGTGCCAACCCCCCCACGGGCGCGGCGAGAGTGCCTGCCGCACCTTACAGCTTCTGTTCTGGTAGAGACAGTTCCTCAGGAGCTGCATGGCCGTGCCCAACTCTCTCCCGAGGCCATCGTCCTGTGGAGACGGCGAGGGGACAGTCAGGACACGAGGGCGCGCAGGACATGCTCCTTCCCTCCAGGGCCCCCGCCCGCCTGCCCACTTGGGCACTGCCCAGCTTTCCCTCCCGAGCAGGCGTTGGGCTGACTTGCTCCACAGAAAAAGGCTTTTGCCTAGAGAGGACACTGGAAAAGGGGCAGGAGAAAAACGGACAAGCACGGAACCCCTCTCCGGGACGCGCTGAGCACGGCTTTCCTGGGCTCCACCAAACGCAGCAGGACCGGCTTGGACGCGCACTGCTGCCAACGGTCTCAGCTGTGTGGTTTGTACATGCGCGTGTGCACCTGTACATGCGTGTATGCACGTGCACACGCACATTCTCGCACGCACGCACGCGCGCACACACAACTCTCACACACACAGTCTCTCTCTCATCCTGTTTGGCCAATGGTCTAAGCACGGCTGCTATAAACCACTTGTCATGTAAACACTGACGTCCAGGCTCCAGAACCACACGCTGGAGCCCAGCAGAGCAGAGAGACACACTCAGCGTCACGGCAGGAAATGACCAGACGCCCTGTGGATGCCCAGACGAGAGCCTGCACCGGCCTGTGCGGACACGGCCAGCCTGCACTCAGCTCCCTCTCGCAGAGAGACCTTCCCTGAACGGTAGTCAGAACCCCCTGGGAAGAGTCCATCCTCCAAAGCGCAGGCCACACACACCTCACGGAAAGATCTCATGCGGGCTGAGACACAGGCAGGCAGGACCTTCTCGTTCAGCGAATGATCGCGTGAGAATCTCTATGCTACACACACACATGCACACATGCTCACATGCACATGTGCGCGCGCGCACACCACACACACACACACCTGCATCTATCCCACTGGACCTTTCTTCTATGCGAAGCGCTCAGTGCCACCAAGTGTGCCATGGACACACATGGGCTCCCCGCCCCACCCACATGCGGAGACCCCCCCTCTTTCCGCCCCCCACAGGTGCAGAGACCCCTGGCCTCCCGCCCCAGTCACCCTTTTCTTCAGCGTGGCCTTCCCAGGCCTCAGGGACTCGAGGTGCAGCTGCGCGCTGAGGTCCTTCATCTGCGCCAGGCAATTGTCTATCAGACCGGCTGGAAGGCAGGATCCAACAGTCAGAAGGACGGTCCCCAGGCGAGTAGGTCAAGGTACACACAACGGTCAAACGCAAAACAAAACAAAAAAAGCCCGATTTTCATACTTGTAACCAACGCCAGTGAGAGTATAATACATTAGATGTAGAAAAACGCAACATTGATGCTATACCTGCCGTTTCCAACCCAGAAAGAAGCCCCCAGCCCACCTACACTCTGAGCCACGGGGAACTGCATTTCACAGCAGATCACATGGAACTGAGTGTCGTGAGTTCGTGTGGATTCTGCTTCGGTTCTGAGATCTGTGTCTTCGAGCCCCAGGTGCAGGCTACATGCTACATGGGAGACTTCGGGAAAACACAGTGTCCAATGTGGCGGTTATTGCTATCCAAACTATGGTTCGAGTTCTTTCCAGGTATGCGATATGTGTTTAGGGATAATAATATTTGATGGGAAATGATGCGATGTGTCACTTTCCAAAGCTTCTGATAGTCAGATGTCAAGCCTCTGGAGAGTGATTGCACACAGAAATCAGAGTCCCACGCAGAACCATTTGATTTTCAAGGGAATGCATGGCTCCTACGTTTCTGTTCTCCTGGGCAGAAGAGACGGCACCACAGGCTGGAGCAAGCCTCTGACTGAGGAAGCCCCAGGTTCTGGGCTCAGGCCTGGCTGGTGCCTGGGACCCGCCAGGGGTGAGCTGAGGACTGAGCTGAGTAGCCCCCAAGGACTACACCACGGCCCCCATCAAAACCCAAACCAAACCCCAGGATTCTGCTCTACACAGAGACGTGTTTGCGGCCTGGCAGGGCGCCAGCAGGAACCCACTCACCTCCCAGCGCGTGCTCCTGCGCTCTGCGGCTGACGGCCAGGAGGGACAGCAGGGCGCCCGCAGCGGCCCTCCGCAGGCTGTCTCGGGCCGACGTGCCTTCATAGCACTGCAAAGGAGACACATCAGACTGGCACACAGGGGCCTAACCCCAGAGGGCGATGCTGCCGGGTGCGGAACACAGCGACGCTGAGGCTCCCAGGAGATTCGCTGCCCTCTGATGAGTCCCCAGACGGGAGGACATTCTGTGGCTCAGGCTCTGGGGAACCCTGCGCCGGAGAGACAGGACGGTGGACAGGACAGGACCTCTGCCTTGCAAGTGGCCAGCCCGGGTTCAATCCCCGGCACCCATACGGTCCCTCGAGCTCCGCCAGAGTCAGCCCTGAGCTCAGAGTCAGGGGTAAGCCCTGAGCACCATCAGGTGTGGCAAAAAAAAAAAAAAAAAAAAAAAGGACCAACAATCACAGTCTGAGTCATCACATAAAGGAAACTCTGGATTCCATGCTGACACACAGCAAGGCCATCCACTTCCTCAGCGCACCAGGGCATGACTGTTTACAGGACTGATCGAGTATCTTCCGAGTACCACCTACAGAGAACTTACAAAGTTGAAGGACATCAATTTTAATATACGTCTGATCACTTAAATGCTAACTTATTTCACTTTCTGTACCATTTATCAAACATATCAAGAAATCGACTGTCTCAACGATGCTGTTTTTTTATCCTCATAATACTCAAATGCCTATACCCTTTTCTAGGAAACCAAGAACAAAAGCCAGGAAAGCTTACAGGTTCCTAACGCCATCAATAAATGCACCATCTTCCGTCAGACATACACCCACGGGAACTCTGGCACAGGTCTAAGTTCTCCCTTGGTTTCACCCTGGCGTGTCCTTTCAACCCACGCAGGGATTCCTATTCGACTGCTTACAAGTTCAGGAGTGACTTCTTGGGAGCCCTGGTCTAAGGGGCTGGTAAGTGGATCCATATCCACACAGAATACTCTGTATCTTTAGTAATTGGGAAGAAATGAAGAGGAAAATTAGCGAGTCATTAGGAAAATATCGAGATGCCCCGTGGCTCGTTTTCCTCGGCCAAGTCGGTAACAGCCCAACGCTACAAGCAGTAACTTATATAATGGATAGCGATATTCTAAGCCACCAAGGGCACGGGAGCGGCAAGGCCCTGCGATGGGGACTCTTCCCCGAGCACACCGCTTCAGTCTGCTCGTCCGGACACGAGCCTGACTTACGAGGCACCCCATCGAATTTTCTAGAAACCCCGTTGCAGCCAGAAGCCAGAGGGATGTGCAAAAGAGCAGCCTTGGCTCGGCCGAGCTCCCAACGGCCCTGGGTCCCAGCCACAGCTGAGGGGAAGACCCCCAGGGCAGGGAGAGTCAGGGACGAGGCCCCCCAGCGTCCCAATGCCAGGTGGACCAGGACTCGGGGCCGCTTCCCGGGGGAAAAGGCTCCACGGGAGCCCAAGGAAATGGACCGTCCTTGGGAGTGGGGCCCGGCTGGGCCACCCCAGAGCACTGTGGCTGCTGTGTGCAGGGCAGGGTGGGTGTCGCCTGGGAGTTGGAGGGGGCAAGTGGCACCAACGGGGTGGGCGGGGGTGGCCACGGGACAGGACAGACTCCTGAGAAAGTGCCCGGGGCTGAAGGCACTCCCTGTGCATGTGGCCGGGGCCACAGATTCCCGGAACCACAGGGTCCCCAACCACGGCACGTGCAACTGGAGGCCGGAGCAGGGCGGGGGTCCGGGCAGCACCCCCCTCTGGCTGTTGCCTGACACAGAGCCACAGGCAGTGGCCCCGGGCCCCGTGAGCTCCACGCCCAGGACAGGCTTGCAGGATCCTTTCAACCAAACTGAAATTCTGCAGCTGCTTCTGAAGACGGCGGGGAAAAGTGTAGGGGTCTCTTCCGCAGGTCTGTCTGTGCTCAATTGACGACCGTCTTCTGGGGGGAGGGGGGACAAGGGCCCGGAGGAGCAGTGACCCTCCAGGGGCCCCACCTTGGCGTTGGTGTTCCTACCGCTTATCTTAGTGACGTCAGAATGATGACTTCTGACCGACAAAACCCTTGGGTCAGGTTTCAGCCTCACAAAACCCCCGGCAGCAGGGTTCTGGGTTCGGGTCGGAACCTCCACAGACGTGGCCGCGAGGAGCACCTGCAGGTCCCTCACACCAATACAATGTCCTGGAGTGGGATGACTTTCAGAGACATTTGCAAGTGACGATTCAAATGACGATAAAAGTTTATACTGGTCCTCCTGAAATAGCGACCGTGATACAACACCCTGTTTGGGTGAACTCTTGGACTAAGATTACGACTTCACATGAAATTTACATACAAGTGGTTCTACATGGAAAGTATCATGTTAAAGCGAAATGAGTCAGAAAGAGAAGGACAGACACAGAAAGACTGCATTCATCTGGGGAACATAACAAAATGGGAGACTAACACCACCCAGGAGTGGCCGAGATTAGTACCAGGAATTTTGCTCCATGGCTTGGAGGCCAGCCACACGTGCTAGGGGAAAAGGAAGCTCAGATAGAGAAGGGAGCACCAAATAAAGGGTGTTGGGAGGATCCTCCCAGGGTGGGAGAAGCATGCTGAGAGTAGACTATAGACCAAACTTTATTGTCACTTAATGCCTCTTATGAAAACCACAACACCCAAAAGGAGAGAGAGAACAACGGGGAATGCCCTGCCACAGAGGCAGGGTGGGATGGGGGGATGGGGGGATGGGGGGTGGGAGGGATACTGGGATCCGTGGTGGTGGGAAATGGGCTCTGGTGGAGGGATGGGTGTTTGATCATTGTATAATTGAAACCCAAGCACAAAATTTGTAAGTCTACAACTGTACTCATGGTGTTTCACTAATAAAAAAAAATATTTTTTAAAAAAAAGATTACGACTTCACTCTGAACTATTGCATCGTGGTCATAAAAAAAATTAAAGTAGCTAATACAGTGGAATGAGAGTGGAGAAAGGATGGCTAATTTAATTTTATAGCCTTCCACAATATATATATGACCCTAATGAGCATTGATTCTTTTTTCCAAAAAAATATTTTATTCAAAGGATGAAAGCACAAGTTCTATAAAATCAAGACCTCACATACCTGGAGGATGACTTCACTCAGCTGCTCGGCAGAGCCCTGGCCTTCCCCGGTCCCGTCGAGAAGCGCCCCGAGCGTGGGGCTGTGCGTCGCCTGCGCCTTCTCCTTGGTCTGGAGGAGCCGCTTTGCTTCCTGGGTGCAGAGGACGGACAGGAACTGCAGGCAGGCGCTGGACAGCGCGGGGCACCCGGCACGCAGGCCCACACAGTGGCAGAACAGATCTGAACAGAACAATCGGCTGAAGTCATTCCAAAAAAAAAAATTTTTTTTTTTTTGGGTCACACCCGGCAATGCACAGAGCTTCCTCCTGGCTCATGCATTCAGAAGTTATTCCTGGCAGTGCTTGGGGGACCATATGGGATGCTGGGAATCGAACCGGGGTCGGCCACGTGCAAGGCAAACGCCCTCTCCGCTGTGCTATCGCCCCAGCCCCTCATTCTGAATTTTTGAAAGTAAATCAAAAATTTGAGAAATTATGTTGATGGCTTTATTTCTAATATCACTTTATTGGATTACAAGATACTTTATTAGGCTAACTCTTTCTAATAAGGTTACCGATAGTCTGGGCACTACAGGTCTGGTTCACATTCAAAATATTTTAGAAGTCAACACTAAGACAACAACACACTAACTCAAGGAATGTAAGCTACCTGTTTTTTTTGTTTTTTTTGTTTTTTGCTTTTTGAGTCACACCCAGCAATGCACAGGAGTTACTCCTGGTTCATGCACTCAGGAATTACTCCTGGCGGTGCTCGGGGGACCATATGGGATGCTGGGAATCGAACCCGGGTCGGCCGCGTGCAAGGCAAACACCCTACCCGCTGTGCTATTGCTCCAGTCCCTACCTGTTTTCTTTTGACATGAGCTCTCTTTCATGAGTAATGCACATATACACACTACTCACTGATACTCGAAAACCAAAGGATGACTTGTCACTCAGATCTCTCTAAGTAGTCTGCTGGGATCCACAAAATCTCTAGTTTGAAATTTTTTATTCCAACGCTAATTAAAAAAAGAGTTAAGGGGCCAGAGCAATAATACAGCTGACCTGGGTTTGCTTGATCCCCCCCATTCCATATGGTCTCCCCAGACCCCCAGGAGTGAGCCCTGAGCTTGAAGTCAGGGCTGAGCCCTGAGCACTGCTGGAAGAGACTAAAAAAAAAAAAAACCCACCAAAAAAGAGAGTTAATACTATTACAATACCGAGCGAGGGTATGCTTCTATTTTAAACAACCGGATGCCGAGTAGTGCTTATAATAATACTTGGCATGCAGCCGGCAGAGTGCAGAAACCAGATTTCACGGCAGTTCTGGCAGCGAACAAGGGGAGGCGGGAACTGACCTGCAAGCAAATGACCGTGTGCGAACAGGCCCGGCCACTCGGAAGAGCCCCGTGGAGCCAGTCACCGCTCATGTCCTGTGGTGAGCACCGACTTAATTGAATCAAAAGGATGTGTGGTGTCAGTTTTATTAATTTGAGTATCGCTGGTTTGGAGTCTGCTATGCTTTGTTTTTGTATTTTGGACTCGTGCTTGTGTCAGAGTTACAACCAAAGGGTCTTCTGCCCAGATTCAGGCTCACAGAAACTCTTGTTATTAAGTAACGTAAGAAAAATGACTGATTTGGCAGTGAAGTTTCACGAGTCACTTGCATGAAAATGGTGAGGTCTGAGGGATGAACAGCACGGTGGGTGTGAGCTACGGGGTGGGCCATCCTGGCCACGGGTCCCAGGGCGAGAGAAGACACACAAAAGGAACGCGGGGAAGGGAACGCTACTGATGGCTTCTATCCTTTATGATTCAGTGAATTATTATCAAAGCTAACTCTCTGTGCAGCCACTGAGGTTATTTGCTTGCTTGCTTGTTTGTTCTGGTTTTCTGGGCCAGACCCAGTGATGCTCAGGGGTTAGTCCTGGCTCCGCACGCAGGAACTACTCCCGGCGGTGCTCAGGGAGCCAGACGGGATGCTGAGGATTAAACCTGGGCCAGTAAATAATTGATTTGGAGATGGAGTTTCATGAGTTACGTGGAAGGCAAGTGCCCTCCTTGTCTCTCTCTCCCCTCTTTCTCCTCTCCTCTCCTCTCCTCTCCCTATCTCTCTCTCTCTCTCTCTCCCTATCTCTCTCTCTCTCCCCCTCCCTCTCTCTCTCTCTCTCTCTCCCCTGCAGCAGACTTTTTGATGAGTATCATTATTATATAAAACTATTTGGTGGACAGATTTGGTATTTAATACGTGTATGTTGTCACTGAGAAAGTAGTGAGCGGGGAGCAGCTTAAACCAGGGGTCAGCACACTTTCTGCAAAGGCCCCAGAGGGAACGTATTTTCTGCTCCGCAGGTCATAAGTCTCTGTCCCGACTCTTCCACTCCAGCCCGGGAGCATGTGGCAGCCGGAGCAACGTGCTGATGAGCACGGAAGGAAGCCGGGCACTGAGCAACTCGGCAGACGGCCCGCTACCCGCTGACCAGCTGGGTCCGGGCCCCGGGGGCGGCCCCAGAGGCTCTCGCTTTCTATCGCAAGCAATTCAGATGCTCGAGTCATCACCACTGCCCCCAGACACGCGGGCGGGCTCCGAGGGCCGAGCAAAATCTCATTGATTAATCTCTGCATTTCTTCTCCAAAAGGACACTGGTCCCCTCAGGGTAAACGCAGGACTCTCAGATCCAGAATACTAATACTTTCATTTCTCACAGATCATCTATTTCCCCATAAATCTTACTTCCCAGCTATCAGACTGAAGAAAATGTGTCACACATCTAAGTTTTCAGACCGACCAAATGGTGAATGGTAAAAAGAGAGGAAAAGAAATGTCAACCGCTTCAGTTAAGGGCTGGGAAATAACTTGGATAACTTGGGAACTTAAAACCACTCAGCGCTGCATACACTCACACGGGCATTTTTCAAATGCTGACAAAGGGAAGAGGGAGGAGGGCACAGCAAGGAAGGCGCGGGCCCCGCACCCGCTGACCCGGGTTCAATCCCCAGCACGCGCGAGTGATCCGTGAGCAGAGCGCAAAGCGAGCCCTGAGCACCACCCCTGACGCCAGAAACAAACAAAGGGGGTAACAGGTGTCACCAACATTATGGCGGTTTTTATTCTTATTTGTTTGATTCAAGAGTCTCCTGCCCCCGCGCCTGGCTGTCCTCGCCGGGGCCCCTTGGAGGGGAGTGGGTTGAGTTTCCCTCCCCGCCCCGATCAGGGCTCCGGCAGCCGAAGACCTCCAGGACCAGCCGCCACCATGCTGAGACCACTCTCCGCACACATGAAGGTACCGGCAGAGGAACAAAGGCATGCGGGTCCCGGGGCCGAGACTTCCAAGCCTACTCGGATTGGGGCTGAGCATCCTCCACCCAGATCCTCCAAATTCCAGTAGGCGGGGGTCACACCCACCAACTGGCCCCCTGGCGCCGTGTAATCCCATCAACGGCCAAGACTCAGAGACTATAAAACCCAGCTCCTGTACTATACTATAAGATAATAAGACATCTTCTTATCTCATTCCTACTTTGGACAAACTGGCAGGCTACCAAATGTAACCTGCCCACACGGCAGAGTCTGGCAAACTCCCCGTGGCGTACCCAATATGCCAAATACCAGTAACAATGATGGGTCTCTTTCTCCTAACCCTGAAAGAGCCTTGAATGTGGCACTTCTTAAAATCTCAGGGCTAGGGTGAAGGAGACGTTACTGGGGCCTGCCCGAGGAAAGAGAACACCAGGATGATCGTGATCGTGCTTGTTTGATTGAAAAAGGCTGCTACCAGGTTGGAGCAATAGCACAGCGGGTAGGACGTTTGCCTTGCACGCGGCTGAACCGGGCTCGATTCCCAGCATCCCATATGGTCCCCTGAGCACTGCCAAGAGTGATTCGTGAGTGCAGAGCCAGGAGGAAGCCCTGTGCATCGCTGGGTGTGACCCAAAAAGCAAAAAAGCCAAAGAAAGAGAAAGAAAGAAAGAAAGAGAGAAAGAAAGAAAGAAAGAGAGAAAGACAGAGGATGCTCTATTCCCTACCATGCCAAAAGTTGGATGAGAAAAAGTTAAAGTGGTGATGTGAACATCGTCCTTTGCTTATTCTGGCAGGTAACTTATATGAAAAACCTCTGGTCTCGGCACCGGAGAGATGGTACTGGGAGGTGAGGCCCTGCCTGGTGTGAGGCCAGGTCAGCCGCGAAGCTAGTTCGAATCTCCAGCACCACACGGGAAAACACCTGGTGAAAGGAGGGGGCTAGTCTCCCCCCGGGCACAGTGCTGAGGCCCTTCGTGGGAGCGGGAGAGGAGGTTTCTGCCCACACATGATGAGGCGGGAAGGTGCCGTCTCTGCACCCAGCGCACCCAGCACCCTCAGAGTCTCCCGCTGTCCTTGTCTGACTGGCGTTTACTGCATCTCGGGACGTCTTCATTTTTAAAGACTGAATTTGGGGGGGTCTGACGAGCACCGCAGACGCCTCCGAGTGAGGGCCTGGCTCTCTCAGACGCCTTCACTGCCCCCACCCCGGCCCCCACCTCCTCAGCCGCTTCCTTACCGACGGCGGGCGCCCAGTGCTCGGCCAGCCCCAGGGTCAGGGCTGGGAGTGCGGCCGCGCCGGCCTTGCGCAGAAGAGCCGCCAGGAGGTTAAACAGATGCGTCCACGCGTGGTGAAACGCAGGTCCTAGTTCTGCATCTGGAAGGGGAATCAAAACATGTCAGGTTAATAATACAGAGAAGGAAAAGGAGACTGAAAACACCCAAACTCCCAAGATGCTTCATGCCACTTAAAATGTCCAAGGAAGACCAATCAGTGTAATCCAGCACGGGCCCCGATTTATTTCAGTGAACCTCTCTTTGCTCGTGGGTCTTCAATAGGCGAACCCGGCCATGGGCACCTCCTCCCAATTCCGCACCACGACCACGCAGGGAGGCCTGAGGCCGTGGCGCCCTGGAAACAGCCCTTTGGGCAGAAAAGGGGCGTTTCTCTGGAGGCCGCAGAGGGCTGTCCCAAAGAAACACTAGGCGGTGCGTGGGGGTCTGCACCTGAGGGCTGGCCGAGGAGGTGGTGGAGGTCAGCTGCCCCTGCCTGCAGTGGCTGGCTCGCACGTCCCCGACAGCGACTGGTGCAAGAGCTGGGCCATGTGGCAGACACTGCAACGGGCCAGGCACTCAGCCGACTTGGGGTGGGTCCCCGGCGCCCATATGGTCCCCGGAGCACCACCGGGAGTGGCCCCCAAACAAACCACAAAACCCGCGACAAGCAAAGGAGGCCTCCCTGGGAATGGGGGATGCAGCTTCCGGGGCCAGGCGTTCTTCGACGGTTTTGACATCATCAGCCCTCGAAGGACCCTTTTTAGACATATTTCTTCCTTTCTGGGATCATGAAATTTTAACTTCATACATACTCCATGTAGGTGGCATCTGTTTATCCGTACACACAAAAAGAAGTGCAAAGCCCAGTAATTCTATTCAATATATGCTTAAGAAGATCAAATAAAATATTTATGTCGTAAATTAAAAATTTAAAAGCCATTAACATTTAACTTTATAACTATACTTGCTGAATTACTTTTAATATGATTCACTTATATGTGCTGAAATACAGCAAACCATAAATAAAAGCTAGAAAACTCTACAAATGTATGACAAATACAATCCAATTTATTTTTATTTATTTATTGCTTTCTGGGTCACACTCAGATATGCACAGGGGTTACTCCTGGCTCTGCACTCAAGAATTACTCCTGGCGGTGCTCAGGGGACCCTATGGGATGCTGGGAATCGAACCCGGGTCGGCCGCGCGCAAGGCAAACGCCCTCCCCGCTGTGCTATTGCTCCAGCCCCACAATCCACTTTTTTATAAAATCATTCATAAGTTGCCCTTTCCCAGTAAGAAATGATACCATTTGCTTAAAATATTTTTAATGAATTCTGGCTACATAGAACAATTCCAAACAAGTCTAGAATAAGCCAAATGCGAAGCATTCGGATGTCATTAATTTGTTCATCGCTTAATAACTTATGTGGTTATGCTTGTGGTTGAAATCTGAGAATGGTCTTACAGCGCAGCGGTGAGCTGCGGCGCGTCACAGAGCACTGTTACAGCTCCGAGTTTCCTCCCCCTCCACACTCCCATTTTCACTCTTTTGGGGGCCCAAAGCAGCCCTGGAGAGAACGAAGATCATGAAGTTGGTCTCATCTAATTGCGTTATTTAGGGTATCGCTGTATCAGTAAAATTACCAAGTAAGGAATTACTGTTTCCACCAGCACTGGCACCATTTTAGCAGTGATTAAACAATGATGGAGCAATGATTGATTGGCTGGTATCAGAAGACATGAACGTCCCAAACTTAAAACCAAGTCAGTCGATGCAGAAAATTCATAGGACTTAGTAAGAACGAACTGACAAACCCCCAACTATCACTGTCTCAGACAAAATGGCATTTTAATTCTAATAAAGATCCCACCTGGTTCTCATTGATGACTAGCACTATGTTCAGGTTTTCTTGTATTTTTCGATAAATTCCGACCTTCACTGATACCCTCTTCCAGACGCCCTTAGACTTGTTATCATGAATGGGGCCATCTGGACTTCATCATAGTTCCTAGAAGTCACGAATGGATAAAACTCACTTGCTTTCTAACATCAGAAAAGAACAGGCCCTCGTTTAACTGCTCTGCGGAGAACGGTGCCTTCCTGCAGTATACACTCTATCTCCAACGGTCTCCTGGCACCATTTTCAAACACCAAGACAAGAAAACGCATTACCAAGATCTTTCACAATACTGGCCAAACCCAACACACACTGGCGTCCTGAAGTGAGTCTGGGGCAGAGAAGATGGTCCTTCCCGTTACTCACGGCCACCTCACGCCCAGAGGAAGCTCACCGGCTACGTCCTTGGTGCCCACGGTGAGGACCCCCAGGACGGTTCTCGTGAGGCGTTTCAGAAGCTCCGCCTGCACCACAAGGTCGGGATCGACCAGCAAACAGGACTGCAGGAGCCTGGACAGGGCGGACAGGAACTCGAGGAGGAAGGACGCCTGATCGAGGAGGGAGACGAAGGGGGAAAAACACACCAAGTGAGAAGCCCACCTCACTCAGTCTAAGAAATCAACAAAACACACAATACCTTTACATTCCTGTGCATCATTCTGAGTTTTTGTAAGTTAATTAATAAAAAGATAATCGTGACACTTAAAAGCCTCAGACGCACTGCAGACGAGTCCCTATATTCTATATTCTGGGTAGGCTTCAAAGGCCACAGAAGCGTGGCCAACGCCAGTGACGGCAAACAAAGCGAATATTTCCAAAGGCAAATTCTGAGTTCCACGGGGGGGGGGGGGCGGGGGGGGGGAAGCTTTTAGAGTTTTCATGCCATTAAGTTGTGGAATCAGTATTCTGGAAGAGGCAGAAGGGACATTCCAGAGCCACAAAATCTACAAAGAGAGGCCACAGAACACTTCAGAGCGCACAAGTGGAGCACGAGGCAAGCGAGTTAATGGCCTGGCGACTGCTACAAACAAAATCTGCTCCGGCTTCGTCCTCAACTCTCAGAACGAAAAAAAATGCTACTCTTGATTATGAAAGAAAACGTAAATCTTCCTCAATTAACACGAAGGCTGTCTCTGAAACGTCGCTCGGGACTCATGTCACGTAAGTCTTAGCGGGCAAAGGAACTGCCCAAACCTGATTCTCCGGATACGGAATCACTGAGGGCAGGGGCCAGGGCGGGAGTGTGGGGGCCGCGTGCAGCTGGCCCAGCACCGCACGAGCACTGCGGGGGCGAGCCCTCAACACAGGCTGGGCGTTGCCCATGCCCCCAGAGGGCCAAGAGGACGAGCACTGTGAAGAAGGGTGGGGTCGTCGAGGCCTCAGAGAGCCAAACCGGAAGGAGAAACCGCCCAGCCCTGAAGTAGCCCAAAGGCGTGGGAACGGGAGAAACTGAGGCACGGCCCGGAGAGGGCGCGTCCCTGGGGAGGCGGGGGGGGGGGGGGGCGCAGCTCTGGAAGCACCTAAGTGTCGGGAGGCGCAGGGCCTCCCCAACGCCGCCCGCTTTGCCGTCCCCCGCCCTCCCCCCCTCCCCGTGTCCTCCCCTCCCCCCCTCCATCCCCACAGACACACTCAGCAAAGTGGCTGTTCACAAAACAAATGATAAAACTCATTAGAGAACCGTCGCGCCGTGTCCTCCGGGGCCTCCTGTCCCTGGGCTTCCCTGACACTGTGTGTCCTGTTTGTGTGTCTGTGCCCCTAGACACGCATGTCCTGTCTGTCTGTGCCCTGGGAGACGTGCGTCCTGTCTGTCCTGTCAGGGACACACATTTCCCATCTGTCTGTGCCTCGGAACACATGTGTGCCGTCTGGGACGCGTGTGTCCGGTCCGTCCTGTCTGTCTGTGCCCCGGGAGACGTGCTTCCTCTCTGCCTCTCACGCTAGCCCAGACCCTCCGACTGTCCCCGCTGGAGGGGGCGTCCTAAGACAGGACCCTGCGCCCCGCCCCCCCCAGCCCTTTCTGCCCGCAGGCGCAGCCCCTCCCCCGTGTGCGCTGGCCCCGTCCAGCTCGCGCTCTGGCCAGCTGGGCCGTGTGTGTCCCCCCATCGCCACCTGGCTGCTGCACAGGAGGGAGCGCCAGGGCACCAGGCTGGGCAGAAGCAGCCATAGGGTCTGCCTGGCGCCGACGCTCTCCCGTGAGCAGCAGCCCCGTGGGCCCCGAGGGGCAGTGGGGGCTCCCCTCCGGGGTGAGGACTCTGGTCGTCGCCACTCCGGGCCTTCGTCATGTCCCTCCCGCCGTGGGGTCACTAACAACTCTCCCCGGGGCACAGGCCGGCACCCCAGCCGCGACTGACCGTGACTCGCCCATTCCACGAGAACCGCCGCAGAGCGGGTGCAATGAAGGCGTCGGGCAGCCAGTTTCAAAGGACCTCACGACGCCCGGAGACCCAACAGGGCCCACCGCTCCCCGACAGACCCGTGGACAGGGCACTGCTCAGAAAAGCCCACAAGCAGCCTGCGAGCGAGCACTGGGCGAGGAGCTGCCCGTGAGCGAGCACTGAGTGCGGGGCAGCGGGGAGCAGGGGCAGGGTGGCGCCACACACACACTCACCTGGGCCCGGCAGTGCTCCCGGGAGGACGAGGCGGGCGGCGAGGCCCGGAGCTCCTGCAGGCGGGCGTGCAGGGGGGCGGCCTCTGCAGTGCTGCGGGCGGGAGAGGAAGGAACCTTCACCTGACGCGCCGGGGCAGGGGAGGGAGGCACCCTCGGGGGATCTGCCAGACGCGGGATGCCAAGGGGGGCGCAAACGACCCAGGCGCCAGGGCAAGCCTGACACGGCAAGACGGAACAGGAAACACCAGCGCGGGGGGACCAGAGCAATGGCACAGCGGGGAGGGCGTTTGCCTTGCATGCGGGCCGACCCAGGTTCGATCCCCAGCATCCCAAAGGGTCCCTGGGGCACCACCAGGAGTGATTCCTGAGTGCCGAGCCAGGAAGAACCCCTGAGCATCGCCGGGCGGGACCCAAAAAAGTGCTGGGCTCCCATTTAGTCTTGCCCAAAACACACTCCAATTAAAAAGTAAAAGTCACAACTATGCAGAAACAAAAATAAGAAAACTGGCCCCGAGCAGGAAAGACCCCTGCTCTTACAGCCGTGCTCGCGCCAGGCTTCCCGCCTGCTGCCTCCCCCCCCCCCCCCGCCTGCTCCTCTCGGACCACCCCCCCTCACAGTGCTCCATGGCAGTCAGACGCTCTCTCGCCCCACCAAAAAGGAATAGCACCAGCCACCCTCCGGCCTCCGGGCACCCGGCACGCAGTGTGCCCGTCCCCCTGCCCTGCCCCTGGGCACACAGTGTGTCCGGTCCCCTGCCCCGCCCCGGGGCAGCGCCCCCTCACCTGCACAGCAGCTCGACGAGCCGGGCTTGGCGCAGGGCACTGGCGGTGTGACTGGGCATGACGGCCACCAGGCTGTCCAGGAGGCTGCACACGGCCGACAGCAGCGGGGGCGTCACCAGCACGCGGGGTCTGGGCGCAGGGACCGAGAGCGATGAGTCCCGGGGAAGCCAGGGCGACGCCGTGCCGGGCTGGCCTGTCGGGGAGCAGCAGACAGACACGTTCGGTAGGTCCCCGCCCTGCCCGGCCCGGCCCTGGCTCCCAGCAAGGTCCCCAGGGAGCAGAGCGACGGGTCGTGGTGCTGCCTGGCACCACCTCCACGGCTCTGCGTGTGTGTGAGCGTGTGTGTGTGTGTGTGAGCCTGTTGTGTGTGAGCACGTGTGAGCGTGTGTGTCTGTGTGTGGTAGCATCCATTGTCTCTCTGAGACTGTGTGGGTGTGTGGTGGGGGGTAATATCATGGTGTATATGCAGGGGTGTGTGGTGGGGGTTGACGTCCATGTGTCCGTGTAGACAAAGACTGTGTAAAGTGTGTATCCGCCTCCGGTACACGCACAAGGGACAGGCCAGTCCAGATGTGGTTGTGTCCCGGCACCCATATGCTGAGGGCACTGATGTGGCACCATCTTCCACCCAGACTCCAGGGCCAGGGTATTAGCGACTCTAGATCCTTGCCGTAATTCGATTCCTGAGGAAAGCACTGAGGGCCATGTACTGCATCCCTCCCTGGGACCCGGGCCACGCCCTGCAAGGAACTAACTGGGTGTTCACAGAGGCCTGCTGAGAGCCTCAACTTGGCGTCTGCACGGTCAGCCTGGGGGTCAGTAAGCTTTGCTCCCGTGTGGGTTAGGGAAAGACCTTTTAGTTTTTCAGAGATCTGGGGCTTCGCCGCTGAAGACACAGAACTGCGACCTTTCCTGAAAGACTCTGCAGAGGACAGTTAGCGGGAAAGCTGACTGTCTGAAAACGCTTCCCCTCATGGGCCTAATTCCTTCTTTTTCTTAAACAAACATTATGCTTTGAACAAATACAGAATGAAAAGACAAGAGTGCAGAGACCCTTGGAGCCAGATAGTGCAGCGAGCGGGGCGTTTGCCTTGCGTGAGGCTGGCCCGGGTCTGATCCCCGGCACCCAATATGGTCTCCCAAACCCACCAGGAGTGAGCAGAGCCAGGAGACCACTGGGTACAGGCCAACTAACAACAAAAACAACAAAGACGCCCCAAACCCCTAAATACTAACATCTTACTCCATTTTATCCACCTGCCTACCAACCTCCTTACGAACCGTATATTGCCCCTTTAAATCTGATTTTCCCAAACAATGGGGATTTGGCATGTTAGAATCAACAGCACAATGACCAAAACGACAGTGACGCCGAAACGTTCTCTCGTTCACGAGCCTTCTCCGGTCCTCTCTGCATCCTCTACTGTCCTTCGTTACAGAGGAAACAAGTCCTTTCTCCTGTTCGGATCCCACTTTGCAGCGAGCTGCCCTCCCTGTGTGTCCGCAGGTACCCAACGGGAGATTCCTTCCTCTCCGGCCCTGGAATCTCAGGCTGGACACTAAAGGCAGAATCTTGAATTTGTAGACCCTCGCGATTGGGTCACCAGCCCTTCACGCCGGAGGAAACACGATTTCTTTAAGCCTCACCGCTGCCTAGTAGGTTTTCTCTTAGCAAGCTCTAATACTCTTCTTTGTGACTAATTCCTAAAGGGATCACTTGAGACGAGATAAATCGTGATATCAGTCACTTGTTTTTGGGTGATTTGTTCTTTGGGAGGGCAAGAAGGGAGACACCTGGCAGTGCTCAGGGCTTACTCCTGGCGCAGCACTCAAGGATTAACCCCGGTGGTGCCCGGGGGACCTTGTGGGGTGCTGGGGATCACGCGTGGGTGGGCTCCGTGCAAGAAAAACGTCCGGCCGACGGTACCGTCCACTCCAGCCCCTCCACTGCAGCTCTTCTCTCGCCCGAGTCTGAGTTTCAGAAACCATGATTTGCCATTAGGTATACGCACTTAACTGGTGTGTTGCTGCCTATGCGACAATTGTGCACATGTCCTACGTGTATGGACAGTTGACCAGGCACACGCACTACATGTATGGACAGTCGGCCGCGTACATGTTGGAGCCACATGACACATCAGAAACCAGCAGTTCTCACGGAAAGCTCCACGCCTAACCCCAGGGTACGCGACAAGCCCTCCCGCTCCCGGAGCCGTAGCTCCCTTCACTGAAAGTGAGAAAACTTTCTCTGCGCCACAGTCCACGTATGCATTTAGAACACACACATGAAGTAGTTTCAGAATTGCTCTCAGGTGCTGGAAAACGCACCTCCTCCTGAGGGCTCACCGTCGTTGACGGTTCTCTCAGGTCCCTAGTCCGGGCAGTTCCGAATACGATACCCCTCTGCCAGCAATGCTGCGCTGAATCTCTACACGCAGAAGCACAGGAAGTGCCTAGAAGTGGGACAGCGGATCAAGTGTAAACACAGAGTCCGTTCAACGTGGGCACGTGTCCTCCCCAACGGGCAACTGTTCCAATTTGCTTTTCTCGAGCAGTGGATGAAAGTCACCCTTTCCCACAACCTTGCCAAGAGAATGTACTGCTAACATTTTAATTATCAGCGAGCGATAGATAAGAAAGAGTATCTTGGCATAAGATAAATTTGTATTTATCCAAAGCTAGAGGCTCCTTTTGCATTATTTTTTGGAAAGTGGCCATCTGTTCATAACTTTTACTCACTTTTCCATGAGAAGTTTGAGTTTCTTTACCTCAAATATTAGGAATGATTTTAAGTCAGGGATACTGGCGCTGTATCAATGACTTAATTACAAGTAATTATATCAACTGTGCTTTTACAAGTAATTATATCAGCTGTGCTTTGACTTGACTTATGCTATATTTTCTGCCATACAACGGTTATTTTTTATTAAATGCAATCAAATTTATCAGTCTTTTCTTCTGAAATATTTGTAAGTTTTTTCAAGTTGAAAAAAACACCCTCTCAATTCTTTCCTTTATAGAGAAAGGCATGAAGGTAGAAACTTCTTTCCTATGCTCAGTCTACGGAGAAATCCAGGCATGTATTCCTTGAGCACTTATGTGACGGCAACGTTTTCTCCCGGGCCCTGATGATCCTGCCGCTTCCGGGAGACGACGTGCTTCTCCATCCAGACCCACAGGGAAAGCCGTTTCCTGCAGGCTGCTCACAGGAGAGACTAATCCAGGGACAGGACGCCTCTTCCCCCGTGGATGATCTAGTTTCCTCCTGGTGTGCTCGTGGGCCGCTATCATGATGGATGATTGAGCTCTGCCTTCTTAGAATGGTGTCAAGCCCGGTAAAGCTACTTCCTTTGGAATATCTTCCAATTTCTGCTTGTTTCTCCAGAGGAATGGAAATTTGCTTACCACAATGAAAAGCTTGCTGGTAATTTTATAGGAGTCACCTTAAATTTATAGGTTAACTTAGAGGTGATACTTTTGATGGTTATTCTATCTAAACACAAGGAACGTGTATCCATCTGTTCATGCCTATTTTTGTGATTTTTTTCAAGAATATTTCAGTTTTTTTCATGAGTTCTACATATAACTAAGATCATTCCTAATATTTTTTTTCTTTGTTGTGATTGCTGAGACCACTCTCCACACGCATGAAGGTACCGGCAGAGGAACACAGGCATGTGGGTCCCGGGGCTGAGATCTCCACGCCTGCTCAGATCGGGACTGAGCATCCTCCACCCAGATCCTCCATCTTCCAGTAGGCGGGGGTCACACCCACCAACTGACCCCAAGGCGGTATAATCCCATCAACGGCCAAGACCCAGAGACTATAAAACCCAGCTCCCGGAAGCAGAACATCTTATTATCTCGTTCTTACTTTGAACAACCTGGCAGGCTACTGAATGTAGCCTGCCCACACGGCAGAGTCTGGCAAACTCCCCGTGGCGAACCCAATATGCCAAATACCAGTAACAATGACGGGTCTCATTCTCCTGACCCTGAAAGAGCCTTGAATATGGCACTTTTTAAAATCTCGGGGGTAGGACGAAGATGACGTTACTTGGGCCTGCTCGAGGCAATTGATGAACAACAGGATGATCGTGATCATTGTAATTGCTAGTAGTGATTCCCTTTTCTCCTTTATATGTAGGAATACTATTTACTCAGCCACTGATTAAGCTAACTGAAGCAGGCATGAACTCATTACTTTTTTACTTTTTAAATTTAATTTTCATGAAGTTGTTTACAATAATTATTTGCATTCAACATTTTAACACCAAACCCACCACCATTATTCTGAATTTTCCTACCACCACCCAAGCCAGCCCCATAGGCAGATGTTTGATAATTTATTTTGTATTGCTTATTATGAACAGTATGAGATGTTGTATGGCCATGAAAATGGCCACGCACTCCTAGAAATTCTAAATTATTTTGAAATATTTGGGGTCATTAGAGGTAATTTTTCTCATGTGCCTATAGGAAGACTGATTTTTGTATGCTAACTAGTCGTGCAACCTTACTGAATTCTTTTATAGCTTAAATTAAGGTCTGCCCATCATTTTTGTTTGATTCTTATTTTGGGCCATACACGTCCTGGTTCTGTGCTCGGGGATCGCTCCTGGGGCAAAACCCAGGTCAGCCACAAGCAAGGCAAGCGACTTATCTATTGTATTATCTTTCCTGTTTTATTTCTTAAAAGGTTCCAAAGTGTGCTAATTAAAATAAGTGAAAAGACAGAATTATTTCTGCTCTTATTCTTACACTTCTCTTTGAAGTCTCTTGTCTAATGCCTATACTACAAGGCGGAGTAACAGTGAATGTGGCAGAGACTCTAATTCTACCTTAGTGAAAACGATCCTAACTTTATGATGGAGTATATACTCTATCTTGCCAAGGTAATATCCATCAATTCCCACTTTGTTTTTTCAAAAATTTTTTCTTTTTTTTTTTTTAGTGATCTATTCTTCAATCCATTTCAATCGCATCTCCTAGATCTGAAGCAGAAGGTTCAATTTTGTCCTTTTCTATGGGACAATTTTTCATTACTTCAGGTCTCTTTGATGCTATTCCTCCACAGTACCACCAACCTTTTTAAATTGCCTAGGCCAAATTCTAATAATTTTGTGACCTTGAATATCTTCTCATTTATAGAATAAAGGAAACCAACAGCCAGAGTAGGTGTGAGGTTTTAAGAAGATAATATGCAGAAACTGTCTGCTCAGGGCTCACTGCCTTGGAACCTCAGAAACGCTCTCCATTTTCTTTGGGTTGGTTTGTTTGGGGGCCACACCCAGCAGTGCTCAGGGCTTACAACAGGCTCTGCACACAGGGATCACTCCTGGCAGTGTTCAAAGGACCAAAAGGGATGCCACTTGCATGCAAGGGAAGTGTCCTTCCTGCTACACTACCAATCCGGTCCCTGAAATTGCTCTTAATTTTCTTTTGAGGCCTAACATGACAGGAAGAAAACATTCTGCAAAATTTGAAACTCAAGATATCGAAGCAATAGCTTTCCTATGGCGATGAAGATAAGAAAGATTTGACAAATCAAATAGAACTTGTGAAATATATTCACAAAACTGGTATTCTATATCTTGGCACTTCTGGGCCAAGCCTATAAAAGCAAAGGATACTCATAAGAGGGGAGGAGTCAGTATTTAAAAGTTAAAGCTATCAATAAAGTCAAGATATTTTTTTATTTTGCAGTGCTGGGGTTCCAACCTGGGACCGCAAATACTCAAGGTACGTGCCCTACTATTAAGCAACATTGCTGGCCTAACAAAACTTTTGTATCTTAACTACTGGGCCCGCTCGAGCAAATCGATGAACAACGGGAAGGCTGTGACCATGACCGACCGTGATGTTAACTAGAAAGAACTACCCCAATTATTTTTGTTTTGAGATTTTGATATTTGGGCCATACCTGGCTGTGCTTAGCTAAGGCTAACTCCTTGCTCTGCGCTCAGGGATAAATCCGGGCAGTGCTTAGAGATCACCCCTGGCAGTGCTCAGGAGACCAAATGTGGTGCTGAGGATGTCACCATGGTTGGGTGTGCAAGGCAAGTGCCTTCGCCCCTGCGACATCTCTCTGGCCCCTGCTAGTTACATTTTAGTGCTCAAATCTTAAGGTTCATTGGCAATACACATTTAATTAATTCTTTGCAGCACCATTCAAGGACTTTGTGACAGGCACAACAGTAATAAAAAGAGTTAAAGATTGCTGTTCTTGGTCAAAAGAGACCTACTGAAGTAATGACAATCAGGAAAGCACGGTATGAATGTGCTCTACAATCAGGATTCTTCAAAATAACCCTAAGTCAATTCACGCAAGTAAACAACAAAATTATACAACTCTAAGTCCACACAAAAGCCCCTGTAGGTTGTTCACGGAAATACTGATGTTAGGCCGGAGGTACAGGACAGTGGAGAGGAGCAAGCCAGGGTTCTCTGAGCCCCCTGTACACAGAGTCAGGAGTAAGCCCTGAGCACAGAGCCAGGAGTGACCCCAGAGCACAGGGCCAGGAGGAAGCCCCGGGCACAGCTGGGTATAGCCCCCAACACAAAACAAAAAAAAGAAACATTCGTCATAGCCTAAAAGTGAAAAACTTCAAGTGTCGATTAGAAAATGGATTGGTCAATGAAATGTGGCGCATCTGTACTGTGGAATATAATTCGGCTGCAAAACTACATGAAAAGAGGGAAACTTTTCAAAATGACGTACAGACACGCTAGAGTACAGATGAGCCCAGAATATGTGCCAAGTGAAAGAAGTCACTCACAAAAGACTACAATGCTCAAATGCCATTAGAAGCAATGTTCGAAAAGGCAGATCCGTAGGGCGGCAAAATTGTTCAGTGGCTGCCTCGGGCGGGAGAGAGGCAGTGGGAAGCGGTGATGGAGATGCAAGTGAGCACGGGCTTCCTCGGGTGAGAAGTGCTCAAAAACTGACTGGGGGGGCGGGCTAGCCACTCAACTCTAGAGATGTATAAAAACAATTAACTATGCTTGAAATTAGGTGGCCTGGGTGACACGGGGATCACTGCAATAAAGCCATTTAAAGAAGAGGAACAAAAAAATGACAACTCCTGTTCTTTGTCTCTGACATTTGCTTTTTTGACTCCTTTTGTTTTTAAAAGAATCCTCAGGGCACCGTCTAGAAAGCCTTTTGTATAGTGCTCACATAATTACCAAAAACCAGAGCTGGCCACCACTGAATCAGTTAAATGACAAATAGGATAATGAGGATTCAGAAGTTTTGGCAAGTATTTGCTAGTATTACTGAATTAGCAAGAATTAGCAAGTATTTCTGAAGCTTTACAAGTCATTTCCTCTGTAAACACTTCAGTATTTGAAATTACCTTCTTTTTAGGTGTTTTTAGGTCCTTTCGGGTTAACAATGTAATGATACTGAATAAAGACTTACATGCTCCAAGCTAAGCTGTAGTCTCCAAAACAGGAAAAGTTTAAAGCATAATTAAGCTGAAAGCAATCCCGAAGAAAAAGGGTCAAGTCACCATAAGTGACTCTCAGGCATTGATACTCTGTCTGCATCTCCTCTGAAAGTACTTATAACCGGCCTCTCTTCACTTTCCAGTGCACTACTGTAACCAATCTCTCCTCCCAGGAGAAGAAAAGAATGAAATAAACTGAGTCAGTCACTGGTTTCCCAGTAGGGATCTCAACGGCCCCTGGCTCCCCCAGTAACAGAGCCAGCGGCGATGCTCTGGGCCACCTTCCCATTTATTAGCCAAGGTTGTTTGTGAGTTGCTGATCTATTTACTCTAATCTACCATGTTATGCAGTGCCTCCTTGAGTTCTTCTTTCACCGCATCTCTCTGATCGGGTTACTTTTCTTCTTGAGAGGAGCAAGCGCTCCTAAAACAATACCTTGAAAAAGTTTTAGTAATGGCGGGTGAGACACAATCATTACCATAATGAAATACAAGTGTAAAATTTAATGTAATAGACTTTAGATGCCAGAGTTGACACCGTGCACGCATGCACATGAGAATGGGCATTTTATTATGGTGCTCAATGGTTTTGATTTTCTTATTTACATGGGTCACAATCATAGAGGAATTCCTAGTTGGCTCCTAGGGATTTATTTTCTGACCATTCTATCTGCCCGTTCTTAAAGTTTTGCTGGAATAAGCAACATCCAGTGGATTTGCTATGTGCCAAGGGGGAAGGTTGCGTCTGGGAGGGAATCGGGGACACAGGTGGAGGGAAGGTTGTGCTGGTGGTGTGGCCACAGTAAGTGCTTGAAACAACCGTGTAATGAGCAACTTTGTAAATCACGGTGTCTTTAATAAAAACAATAGCACTGTGGCACTGTCCTCCCGTTGTTCATCGATTCGCTCGAGCGGGAACCAGTAATGTCTCCATCGTGAGACTTGTTACTGCTTTGGGCTATCTCAAATATGCCACAGGGAGATTGCCAGGCTCTGCCATGCGGGCAGGATACTCTTGGTAGCTTGCCAGGCTCTCCGAGAGGGGCGGAGGAATCGAACCCGAGTCGGCCAGGTTGGCTGCGTGCAAGGCAAACGCCCTACCCGCTGTGCTATCACTCCAGCCCAATAAAAATAATATTAATTTAAAAAAAAAATCAAACTGATACCTTGAGTCCCAAACTGGTGCTGTGAGGCCTCGGGCAGGAGCAGCGGCTGGAACTCGGCACTTCCGGAGGGAGGCGTCACCTAGGAAGCAGCGAGGACAGTTACTTCCCTCAGGAGTGTGACAACCGAGAGTGACGCAAACTGTCTCCTGCCGGGAAGGCTGCGAGCAGACTGAGAGTGGCAGCAGCCACCATGGGCTCCAACCACACTTTCTGCTCCTTCCTCTCCTGGTACATATTATGGAAATCAGCAGAAAGGCACGGATTCAATAGGAAGCCCGATTTACCCGAGCAGGAGTGCAAAAAAGATCTTTCTCTCCCCATTTTCTTTTTTTTGGCTTTTTGGGTCACACCTGGAGATGCATAGGGGTTACTCCTGGCTCTGCACTCAGGAATTACCCCTGGCGGTGCTCAGGGGACCCTATGGGATTCTGGGAATCGAACCCGGGTTGGCCGCGTGCAAGGCAAACGTGCTACCTGCTGTGCTATTGCTCCAGCCCCAGAATGCAACCGTTTTTAAAACTTTCAACGGAACGGTCTGTACAGGCAAACATTATTCACCTCCAGGTGGGTGGCTGCACGATTGCATGGCCTCCTGATACACACCGACGTATCAGGAAACCGTGTCTGCTGGGTTCCTTCTGTGAAGAAACGCCTTTTCTGGCCGTCAGTGCATTCTTGTAAGAGCGTGGACTGCCCGTGCCGGATAAGCTCCGTGCTAGCTCATGCAGACAGCAGGCGCAGTCTTCAGGATTCAGGAACCAACGTTCCCTCACAGTGCGATTCTCCCCGGCTCTTAGCCTCACCCTCACGGGGCCCCTGGACCTGATCTAACAGACTGAAGCACAACCCAGAGGTTCTGGGAGAATACACTTGGGGAGGAAACGACCAGGAAGCAGTCTAGTGTCCAATTCCCCTTTCTTTTTTCTTTTTTGGCTTTTTGGGTCACGCCTGGCGATGCTCAGGGGTAACTCCTGGCTCATGCCCTCAGGAATCACTCCTGGCAGTGCTCGGGGGACCATATGGGGTGCCAGGTTGGCGGTGTGCAAGGCAAACGCCCTCCCCGCTGTGTTATGGCTCCAGCCCCCGAATTCCCCTTTCCACTGAAATTCTCCATCCCTTCTCATCACGGCAGGTCTCACTTTCCTAAAGAACAATGACAAGGCGTGATAAAAAGCCACAGCTCCAGGACATGGGCTTAAGTCACTGAGGAATCTCCCAGACAGAGTTCAGTCTGTGGAGAGCACTTGGAGATGAGCAAACATTAAACGCCTCCCTTTACACGTGACTAGAGACAGGTAACAGGGACAGCCTGGCGTGAACAGGCTGAGAGTGAGTGAGTGACAGCTACTGTCACCGACAGGGATGCACTGGGGCTGGCCACGCGGGGCTGACCAGCACCTGGGAATGCCACACATGCCCACACCGGCCAGAAGAAAGCCAAGACGGGAGGGAATCCCTTCACTCTCCTGGGCCCCTTCCACATCCCTTCAACTCTGCAGCCGTCACGCAACAAAACCCGGGACGCTCAGGACAGGGCAGGGCCACTGCGAAGGGCCTCCATGGCTCACTGGAAGGCGAGCGGTGACTAGGGACCAAGGCCACGCGTCAGCGACGGCTGTGGCTTCTGCAGGACAACCAGAGGGAGGACACGCAGGTGTCAAGCATCCGGCTACTGGGTGGAGTGGGACTGCAGGGGCACGTGCTCGCCCGACATGCAGTCGACCCTGTCTACAGCCCTATCGGTCCTCAGCCCCCCACGTGGTCCCGAGTGAGGGCAGAGCTGGGCAGAGGCCCTGGACACTCCTGGGTGTGACCCCAAAGCAAAAACAAATGAAAGAAAGCGTGGCCATAGCAAGTGCCAGACTAATAGTAGTGTAACTTAGGCCATGTGGCTAAAATATATGGCTTCTGTATATAGTAAAATATATATAGGGCTGGAGCAATAGCACAGCGGTAGGGCGTTTGCCTTGCACGCAGCCAACATGGCCGACCCGAGTTCGATTCCTCCGCCCCTCTCGGAGAGCCTGGCAAGCTACCGAGAGTATCTCGCCCGCACAGCAAAGCCTGGCAAGCTACCCGTGACGTATTCGATATGCCAAACACAGTAACGAGTCTCACAATTTGTTGTGAGATGTTGCTGGTGCCCGCTCGAGCAAATTGATGAACAATGGGAGGACAGTACTATATATATGTGTGTGTGTGTGTGTGTAAATATATATGTGTGTGTGTGTGTGTATGTGTGTGTGTGTGTGTGTGTGTGTGTTTAAAGACAAAACTACATGACAGTAAATGCTCTCCCGTGCTCAGATTGCCTGTTTGAAAGTAACCGTTAATCAGTCCTTGTCACATCACTGATACTCATTGGTATGTAACCGTGACTCTTTGTTTTGAAATCTCTAACAGTCAGTGTCAGAATCCAGCGGTCTGGGGTCCCCTTCCTGGAGTCTCAGCCAACCACATCAGAGGGTCGGTCGATGCCAGGATGGGGAAGACGCAGAGCTGCGAGGGTCCCCCAGGCCAGCCCAGAGGACCTGGGGCCTCCAGAGCCATCCCACGGGCTGTTGGGGGGCCCAGGGTCATACTACAGTTGTTTGGGGCCCCAGGGCCATACCTCAGACTCATTCGGGGGGCCCCAGGACAACACTCACGAGGGCCGCGAGGACCCAGTGTCAGCTCATGTGTCTGAGCCCCTGGACTGTCTCCCTAGTCTAGAAAAGCCCCTAAAATATAAAAGCCAAGAACCACCCCTGCTTCACTGGAACACCGGCAATTCTGAGAAGCCCAAGTGCCCAGGGACACCCCGGGATGCCCAGTTCCTCATGCAGGGGCAGCGGAAACTGTGTCCTCGAGCACTGATGGGGGGCAACGCCCTGGAGGCAACAGGGTCACTGCTCTTTTGTGATACACAGGGATATAGCGTGGCCTTGCCGGCAGCCAGAGCACCCAGGCCCAGGACTCATCAGACAGCACCAGGCGGGTCCCTGAGGGGCACCAAGGCACAGCACGGACACCAGCCTGACACAGTCCGCGTGCGACACCCCCGCCAGAGAGCAGGGCTCTCAGGGAGACAGAGGGAAACGCACAGGCGCCAGTGGAAGATGGCATTCTTCTCCAGTCTAAGACAGTCACCACGCGGTGGGTGAGGAAAGTCACTAAAACCAAAACTACTTGGATTTGGAATTGCCTCTCCCCGCCCCCCCCCAATATCCCCACTGACCACAAACGAAGGGTGAACTGTGTAAATTCTGATTAATCATGCTAGTTTGTAAGCTACAAGATATAAATCTTATATGACTTTATGTAAGAATTATTTGTTTTAAAAAATAACACATTGGATTTATGTTGCTAAAAGTCTATGCCCCATGAAACATTGAGATTTTGTCATAATAATGATATAATAAATACCTTCAAATTTTTTCATGGGAAATCTAGTACCATAATCTATAAGATACATGCTAGTATAAAAATGAAAAGTTTTGATCTCCTTGTTTTTTACACTTACCTTTATATAGAAACACAACTTGCTGTCTACAGATAACTAAGATAACTCAAAGATAATTAGAGCTGATTTATTAAACAGAGCCAACTACTAATCAAGTACTAGCTAAACCAAAGATGTGAAGAATGTACAAGATTCGACTAAAGACCTTCCCACAAGCAGAAAAGTCTAAAAAGAAATCACTTTCAGGTCCTTCTGTGAGCTAAATAACCAATTAATAAGACTCTATTTGTGTTTAACCAAACTGTAATTTCTCTTTTTGAAACGAGGATACATTCTACTCTAGCTTGGAAAGGAAAGCATGACATCTAGTGGAACCAGGGTAGGTAATTAGGCTACTTTTCTGAACAAAGATTTTTCAATTTAGCAAAAACAGAAACTCTTCCAAGCATAAGAAGGGCTTTGAAAAGTACAGCAAAACACACCCATCACTGAGAAACTGCAGAAGGGAAACCTTATTAGTGCTGGCATAATTACTTAAGTCTCAGATCATCTTTTGCTCCTGGAAACAGGTGTCTTCCGAAAAGATCCTAAAATGCAACCACTGTTTTCAAGAACACTTTAAAACTGAAGGTAATGTGTTCCAGTTAAGAGTAAGTCACTTTTGGGGCTGAAGCGATCGCACAGTAGGTAGGGCGTTTGCCTTGCACATGGCCAACCTGGGTTCAATTCTTCCGCCCCTCTCGGAGAGCCCGGCAAGCTACTGAGAGTATCCCGCCCACACAGCAGAGCCTGGCAAGCTCCCTGTGGAGTATTCAATATGCCAGACACAGTAACAGGTCTCACAATGGAGATGCTACCGGTGCCCACTCTTACAATGGAGACGTTACTGGTGCCCGCTCAAGCAAATCCAGCAAATCGATTAACAACAGGACAGTGCTACATCGCTGTTATTTAGAACCACTTAAATGAGTCCGGCCAAAGTAACTGCACGGAGGGAAGGAAGGAGACGTATCTGACAGAAGCATCTGGAATTGTGCTGGGAAGTATCAGTGCCCCTCGGGAAAGATCGAACGGCTTGGGCGCTCGGAAGCGCACTGTCCTGAGGCTGGATTGGGGCAGCAGCTAGGGCGCAACTGTGGTTCAGTACGACCACGGCCAGGAGTCATTCCTGGGCCCAGAGCTGGGAGTCAGCCCTGAGCACCGCCAGGTGTGGCCCCAAATATAAAACAGTGGCCTTGCTCTTCAGCAGGACATCATGGCAATGAAACACTATTGGTTATGTGGGATCTGAGCCTTCTAGTAGTAAGCGCGACATCAATTCAAAAGAGACACCAAGGATCCCTCTTCGAGGACACGGGAGCAGCGGAGGCGCAAGGCCGACCCCGAGTGAACAGCCAGTGGACGGCCACGCAAGGGGGCACAGCACAACGCACAGCCGCATCTTCCATGCCTGCTCCCATCTCGCCACTCTGTAAATTCAGATCATTTTCCCAGAGATTCAAAATAAAGCATCCAGTGACATGTTCTTAGAGATACCATTGTTTCCGAGGTCGAGAGAGAGGCCGGATCTTGATCGTGAGCGGATATCCCAGCTGGAGCCCACCAGAACTTGAACGAGTCGTCCAAACCTGGAACAGCAGGAAAACCGTGAGCGAGAACTGTGCCCTGCATCCCGGAATCCGCGGGAGAGAATGCTGGTTCTGACGATTCTTAATCATATACACACTTACACATAAAGCTGACACCACAAAAAAACTTAACGACTATTTGCTGGCTTATTTAGCTTAATCCAACACCAAGAGCTTCCAACTTGAACAGGCCTAAGACTCACTGAGAGTTTGTTAAAGAAGCTTCCGGAGCCCTTATCCAAGAGATCGACCCCCAAACTCACGTAGGAGGGGGACATGAACTTCCTGTAAGCTCAGAATGGCAGACGCGGTAATTGTGTCAGAGTAACGCTAATCCAGAAAAGGACGATTTCCTCTGGATTCTTTGAAAAAGTGAGTCCAGCACTGTCTAGCACTGCCCTCCCATTGTTCATCGATTCGCTCGAGCGGGCACCAGTAATGTCTCTATTGTGAGACTTGTTACGGTTCCTGGCGTATCGAATACGCCACGGGGAGCTGGCCAGGCTCTGCTGTGTGGGTGGGATACTCTCAGTAGCTTGCCGGGCTCTCCGAGAGGGATGGAGGAATCGAACCCAGATAGGCCAATGTGCAAGGTAAATGCCCTACCCGCTGTGCTATCGCTCCAGCCCCAACAAGTGATTAATAAATTAGAAATTCACCTGTAAGCATTTAGAGGCAAACAAACTTTGTCCGTGTCAGTAATTACTTTTAAATGGCTCAGAAATACGTATCTGGAGCCGGAGCAATTGCACAGTAGGGAGGGCATTTGCCTGCACGTGGCCAACCCAGGCTCGATCCCTAAAAACAGAGTCAGGAGTAATCACTGAGCACTGGCAGGTGCGGTCCAAACCCTCCCCCCCCAAAAAAAAATAAAATCTCTAAACAAGTACACAGATTTCATTCTTTCATGCACATATATGTACATGGCATGAAAGGAAGTATAAGGTAAAGGTAAAGGTAAAGGCCCTCCCGTTGATCGTCGATTTGCTCGAGCGGGCCCAGTAACGTCTCCATTGGAGACTTTGTTGTTACTGTGTCTGGCATATCGAATACTCTCGGTAGCTTGCCGGGCTCTCCAAGAGGGGCGGAGGAATCGAACTCGGGTCGGCCATGTTGGCCGCTTGTAAGGCGAACGCCCTACCCACTGTGCTATCGCTCCAGCCCCCAAAAGCTGTAACATCGAAGCACTCTGAACAATGCACCTTTTCTATATGTATGAAAAGTCAAGATTTTTAAAAATTCCTTTAAAATTAAAGTCCGGGGGCTGGAGCAATAGCACAGCGGGGAGGGCGTTTGCCTTGCACGCGGCCAACCCGGGTTCGATTCCCAGCATCCCATATGGTCCCCCGAGCACCGCCAGGAGTAACTCCTGAGTGCAGAGCCAGGAGTAACCCCTGTGCATCGCCGGGTGTGACCCAAAAAGCAAAAAAAAAAAAAAAAAAAATTACAGTCCAATTTTGTTATTAAATTACTATTTATTACGAGGCCCAATTATCATTTAACTGCTCTAAGCTGATACACTTGGGAAACCCACGAGAACCTATCAACAGAGAGAGAGAAAAAGGCTCCATTCAGCACGATGCTTCGAGAAAGGCAGCCAGGCAGCAAACACACAGAACCTGAAGCGCACAGGCAAAACGAATCAGGAAATGTAGGGAAAGGGCTTGATTTTCATGGCCTAAGAAAAACCTTCCCCAAAGTACGCTATTAATAAGGAGGGGGAAAAAACATGACTTTCTGAAGGGCATTAAAACAAAACTTATGAAAGATTAATATGATGTCAAAACGGTTTCCATAAAGAATTTATAAGATAGCAAAAAGGCTTAAGCGATGTTTAGAGAAAGCAAAGAATACAAACGTACATAATATATGAACACAATCAAGTAAAATAAACAAAAGCTCTATAGAGACGGAAGACTCGGGGAGAGGAAAATAACCGACATCTCCAAACCAGCCTCGGGCACAGGGAGACAAAAGCTTCTCCCACAAACCCTTTCTGGCCTTTGAAGTGTTTCAGAGCACAAAGAGGCGTTCAACAGTTGGAAACGATGATTTCCTAACAGGTGATTTCCTAACAGGGACAGGTGAGCGCACTGACCGTCGGAATCACCGTGGCCTTCTGCAGTGTCATCCGGAGCCGCGGGAACCGAATCACACGTGGAGGGTGCCAGGAAGCGGTGCTTCACCATCTGATGCAGGTGCTCATAGAAACGGCAGTGGCTCAGGAGCGCCTGGAGGGCAGGTGTGCCCACGAGAGACAGGCCCGAATCCTCGTCATGGACACAAGGGCCCTGAGAGAGGAGAGAGACGTTGAGCCCGGCTCCCGACGGTGCCCTCAGTCACACATGGGCGCCTCGGCCGACTCCAAAGCCCTCCCCGAAGGCAGCGGGGCTCCCCCAGGCGCTGCCACACGTGCAGCTTCCAACACCAAAAACACATCCACCCCCCCAAGTGGTACTGTCTGACCCACAGTCCTTAACACCAGAATCCACAGGTCCAGAAGCGCTGCCCCAGGTGAGCTCTGCAGCGGGCACGCGCGAGTGTGTGTGTGAACGCGCCCACACTCTCCACAGAAGACGGGGGAGGGCGCGTGGGCCGTGACACGCTCCCATCTCTGGGCAAGCCTCTCTGCTCAATTCTTCACGGTGCCTCGCACTACTTTTCGTGGCAGAAGTCAAGCATCTGGGTTGGCCGAAGCGTCGTAAATAATTCTACCTTTCGTTTATATAGACTTCTAATTTTGGGAAATAGTGATCAAGATTTCAAAAGCGTAAGACAAAGCAAAGTAGAAGAGAGAAATGAAAAACCATGCAGTGTCAACAGGAAACGTCTGTTCCAAACATCCCCAACACGCATGAGTCAGTAGATGTATGTGTGTGTGTGTGTGTGTGTGTGTGTGTGTGTGTGTGTGTTTCCCTCACCACTCTCCACTACCAACAACAAAAACAAAAACCAGAAGCTGAATCTTACTAGGCAGAAAGAGAAAGTTACTCACACAGAAAGGGATAATCAACAAAAATAATGTGGTGTCCACGGGTCCCCCCCCCCTTTTTGAAAACACCATCATCTTTAATCAGCTTTAATCCCACCTCCGTGTGAAGGCCTTTGATGGGCGATGCTGTAACTGTGTGTTCCAATGAGCCTGCCCGGCACTGTGCCCTTCCACTTCGTGAGAGATCAGTCCTCACACTTAATAAGAAATGCCCCTGTCCAGTGAACCGCCGGCCTGGGATGGCCACCACCGTCACTCGAAATTCAGAGGTCCAGGAGACGCACGTTCAAAGAGAGCACGGTCTATGCAAGGACCGTGGCCCTCAGCCCCTTATCTCGGCAAGAAGGAACGACCCCAAGTCACAGGCATGGCCGAAAATTCTTCGCCAAGTCCAGCACTGGAGACTCACAGTCGCTGTTGAACAGCACAATTAAAGATAGTTCAAGAAAGGATTAACAAAGATTAAAGGATAAAACGTTCAGCCAAGTTTCTTTACTCACTTACGCCAACTTGTAAAAAAGCAAATCATTAACATAAAACTCTCAAGCCAAGGGGTAAAAACACTATTTTTTGAATACGGCTTAGCAATGTCCAGAAGCCTACCAAAATATCTGACTACAAATTATGTCTGATTATTTTGTTCACTATTGAAGAATCGTCTCTATATAAGTGCTTCCTGGAGGAGGTTACAGCCACAGTCCAATACTCACAAAGACTTAACAAAAGTAGTTGAAGGCACACAGACTGCATCAATCTAGAAAACGGGCTTTGTAAGAGTTCTTACAGCTGCTGATTCTTTATTTTGAAAAGGCCTTTTGAGGGTTCTTACCATGTGCTAGGAAAAAAAGGTGCTACAAATCACCTTTGATTTAACTGTGATTTCAGGGTGAGAAACAATATGCGTAAATATGAAGTACAACTGAAGGAAATATTCTCATTTACCTGGACTGTCTCTCTAACTTAACCAGCTTTACTTACCCCTAATTACTGCATTTTTAAAAAATCATCAAGATTTACGAAACAGGAGAAATAAAGACAACAATAGGAGTCAGACGACATATTTCATTGTTGTCGAGAATATGTATCACTTGTCATCCTGTTGATCTTCAATTTTGCCCGAGCAGGCGCCGGTAACATCTCCATTTGTCCCTGTCGTGTGCTAGTGTAGCCCAACGGCCATCTGCTCGCTCCTGGAACACGAAGAGCCTCAAACCGTTTGTTCAGGGTTTTGATGAAGAAGTCTGACCATCTCGTAGGCGGGCGGCCATGCGATCTTTTGACGTCCCACGGAATCCAGTGGGTAACAGCTCTAGTCCAGCGGTCGTCTCTAAATCGTGTTACGTGTCCAGCCCATCTGATTTTTGATACCTTGGCAAACGAGACAGAGTCCTTGATTCTTGATCTTCGATGGAGATCGGAACTCCAGATTCTATCTCTCATTTGAGTGAAGCGTGATACTCCAAGCATAGCTCTTTCGATTCCTCTTTGGGAGACCCAAATAGCGTTCTCGTCCTGTTTTCGTAGGGCCCAGGTCTCTGAGGCGTATGTTAATGCACTGTAGCATTGTCCTCCCGTTGTTCATCGATTTGCTCGAGCAGGCACCAGTAACGTCTCCATTGGAGACTTTGTTGTTACTGTGTCTGGCATATCGAATACGTCACGGGGAGCTTGCCAGGCTCTGCCGTGCGGGCGAGATACTCTCAGTAGCTTGCCGGGCTCTCCCGAGAGGGGCGGAGGAATCGAACCTGGGCCGACCAGGTCGGCTGCGTGCAAGGCAAACGCCGTAACCACTGTGCTATCGCTCCAAAATTATGTAATAGGCAAAAAACGTACCATCTGACAATAGAAAAAAATCCTTGAAGGTGAATAATTGAAGATTTCCTACGTGTTCCGAGACGGGGCCGGTGAGCTGTGAGGCAGAGCAGGACCCGAGGGCCAGGCAACCCCCATGTCACTGGGAGGACAATCACATCCCCTAACGGAAATGTCTAATACCTCTCAGGTGTGTCTTTCGACCCTTAAAATTGTCTTTCCTTCCTTTTCCCCACTTACTCTTTATTTATTTTTGGTTCTGGAGTCACATCCCGCTGTGCTCAGGGCTGACCCTGGGCTCTCACTCAGGGGGCCCTGTGGGATGCGGGGATCGAACCTATGTCGGCCACGTGCAAGGCAAGCGCCCTCCCTGCTGTCCTCTCTCGCCAGCTCCTCTTGTTACTCATTTGTACTGATTTCCCACTGGTATCAGATACTACGAAGCTGCAGACTCACCACCCCAACGCCGATGCCCCCAAGAGCAGCCACGGAGAGTCCCTCATTTCTTCCTCCACTGCTCCTAGGAACCACGATTTTCTCCAAGTCGAGCAATTAGTTTTGCGAAAAGATAATATAAAATTCAATCTGCCAAGTAGTTCTTTAGAACCTAATTTTTTTTCTCTGCCTATAAATCACGGAGAAAATTATTCAGCCTACTGAAGAAGTTAAACTGAGTCTGATGTGACAAAGGAATTAATATCCCAGAAAATAAAGACTAAGGAATAGAAATGTAAAAGATAAGGTGACAGAAAAAAAAAACACAATTCAGAGGGGGCTCATATGATTTGTCAAAAGATAAAACAAAAGCAAAACAAAGAAAAAATTTTAAAGCAAAAAAAAAATTAAAAAAATAATTGTCATAACCAACCAAAAGATAAAGAACAGCTCCATCTTGAAATTAAGTTTCTTGCTGGATGTCACACGAGAGACAGGAAAAACAAGCACCACCATTACAATTCCAGAACATCAAAGACGAAGATGAGAGGCCGGAGCGACAGCACAGCGGGTGGGGCACGTGCCTGGCACGCCGACAACCCAGGGTCCATCCCTGGACCCCAAGGCCCCCCCTAACTCCCTGAGCACAGAAACGAGACTGACCCCTGAGCACTGTTGGGTGTGGCCCCCAAACCGAAAAGATTTAAAAAACAAAAGCCACACAACGAAAAAACGAAGATGAAGAGATGGTAGAAGAAAGAGCTGGCACAAAGGCAGTGACGAAGGCCACACGAGTGCCCGGCTTCTTCCTCCAGAGCCGCCCCGGCCGCCGGACCGCAGCAGAGCGACCTTCCGAGGAGGGAGGATGTCAGCCTTGCGCCTGCCAACTATCCAGATTATTAATCCAGTGCCACTAACAGAGCCTCAGATCCAGAAGAACACCCAAAGCTTCTGCTCGTGCACTCGTCATCAGGTAAGAGGACAATCACCTTTTCTTTTTTTTTTCTTTTTTGCTTTCTGGGTCACACCCAGCAATGCACAGGGGTTAGTCCTGGCTCTGCACTCAGGAATTACTCTTAGCAGTGCTCAGGGGTCCATATGGGATGCTGGGAATCGAACTCAGGTCGGCCGCCTGCAAGGCAAACGCGCTACCCGCTGTGCTATTGCTCCAGCCCCCCCCCCCCTTTTTTTTCCTTTTTTGGCTTTGGGTGACACGTGCTCAGCTATGCTCGGGACCGGCTCCTGACTTCGTGCTCAGGGCTCACTCCCGACAGGGTTGCAGGAGCCCTACACAGCCCCAGGGACCGGGTGAGCCGCCTGCAAGGCTGCGGTACTCTCCTGGTCCAAAGACACCAGAGGTTCTGTTCACAGTTTTCCTGCCTCCTGGGTCCCACCCGGCTGTGCTCAGGACTTACTCCGGGCTCCGTGCTCAGAGCTCACTCCTGCTGGGGCTCAGACAACACAGTGTGCCACGCATGACGTGACCTGAGCCTGGGTCGTTCAGCTGCAAGGCTGGCAGCTTTCCTAGCCACGAGGCCTCCGACCCCGACTACCAGGGTAAGTTCTCAGGAGAGGGCCCTGGCGTGTGGGACGGCGGGAAAGCGCACATCACCCCATGAGAGAACGGACCCCTGACCCAGCTGGGCCTTCAGGCTGTATGCACTCCTAGAACGCTCAGGCATCCCAAGTGCCAGGGGGTCGGTCTGACGGCCCTAAAAGCAGAGCTAAGGAAATGGAGGCACAGAGCGACCCAGGGCTCCGCAATGCACATTGCAACTTCATTTCAACCACGGCAGCCGAGAAGGCAGATGATCAAGGAACACAGCCAGAGTGAAGAATACACTGGTCTGCAGGAGAGAGCGACGAGCGAGGGACAGGCACGGACCCGTCACCACCAAGCTCGAAGGCGACCCTGAGCACTGCCAGACTCAAGCACCAGGAGTGAAGTCTGAGCACTGGGCCAGGAGTGAGCCCTGCACACACAGGCTGTGGCCCGAATAAAAGTGAAACAGCATCAACACAAGGGAATCCATGGTATTTCTATCTGCAAGC